GTTAAGTCAAAGCACTTTTACGTGGCAGAGCCACGCTGCAGCTATAATATGGTCTGTAGTCACACTCACAGAATACGGGCGTAAAATTACAGCTTAATTCTGCTGTGTTTCGTATGATGAGTGTAGAGAATCTGAGACCGTTTTTACTGGAAACGAGGCATTCCATTTCGGTCCACACGGGTGAAAATTTGCATCTGTCTAGATTCTTAATTGCGGTTAAATACAGATGTTAATGTGTCACAGCATCTACTTACAATCAGGTGGACTGTGTACTCGTTTATCATCCTTATTCTATGAAAAAAAAAACTATAATATTTCCGGCACAGTTGATCGACAATATCCGGAAGGTATTGCCTTGTTAAATCGACTAGGACATCACCATCCGTCATTATCTCACGAGTTATATTATTTGAAGTATACTTACTGTAGGTGTTATCCTGGAGTGGGAGACGGGTACATTGATTTTTAACTTGTCTCCAGGTCTGGTCTCCTTTATGTTGAGTTCTGTTTTGGTGAAGGAAGGATGGTCACCGCACATGCTGCAAGCATGATAAGTTAACTAAGCGTTATACTAAAACTGTGCAGATAAATGTTTTGCATATTAGGTCTTTACCTATGAAATTGCCGTTCTGCAGTACTGGCCATTTCAAATCAAAATAATTTTTGTTTGCCTAAGAATTCTAATTTCAATATAATTTTATTTTAATAATATGGAATTCTGTTTTCAAAATTAGTCATTTGTTTATTGTTTAGCGTTATGTTTTCATCGCATTTGAATCGTTTTCGTCATCATGGATACGTTAAAAATTTCGTAATTATGGAATACGAGTACCGTCGTGCAGTAACGCGGCACAAGTGGCATGCAACATCAACGAAGTTTACGGAGCGAATAGTAAAGTTAGTAAAGTTACAGCCTATATACGTCCCACAGCTGGGCACAGGCCTCCTCTCATTTCTGAGAGGGTTTTAGGGCAAGTAAATGTCCGCCGCGCTGCCCCAATGCGTGTTGGCGAACTTCACATGTCTTCGAAATATTTTTTTCTTATTTCTCAGACATGCAGGTTTCCTCACGATGTTTTCCTTCACCGCCGAGCACGTGGTAAATCAGCACTTAAAATTGCAATTAACAATTTCATTGGTGCCGGCGGGGATCGAACCCAGTTTGCTCGCGTATTGTGAAATTTACAGCGAGCGCTAACCATCTGAGCTACCACGGCTTTTACGGATTCCTTCCTCTCAGCACGTCCCAAGCGCGACGTTGCACTCCGATACGGAGCGAATACTACAATATAAACGAACACACCGTCTGTTATTGGTTTGCCTGCTTCCTGCTCTGCTAATGCTCTGGAAATTACGACCTGAAAAATAAACCCCGTGGTTGTCCGAAAACTGGTCGACAATTACGAATAAAAGGCGCGATACTACTACTACTACTACTATCTACGGCTGAATTATCAACAGCTTTCGACGTCAGCATCAAAACAATATTGGTCCATTTGCGTCAAATTGGCAAGGTAAAAAAGCTTGACATATGGGTGCCCCACGAATTCAAGATCGCCAGCGCGAAGTACGCGTCAAGACGTGCTTTGCTCTGCTCAACAGGCACCCAAATGAAGGAACTTCGAACCGCATTGTTACTTACGAAGAAAAATGGCTTCAGTTTGACAATCGCAAGCGCTCAGCAAGTTGGTTGGATCCTGGTACAGCACCTAAACATTGCCTTAAGCAAAAACTTACCCCTAGAAAAATGAGTGGTCATCATTTTTCGTGATTTTTTGTTTGATGATTGGCCGTGATTCATCACAGCTTCTGTACAGATGTGTACTGTGAAGTAGTTACTGAACACAATGATGAAGAAGCTCGAACGTCTCCCCAATCAACTTTAGTCAATCGCTTGTACCTCCCGACCTCATACTGCACAACAGACGATCTTCAAGTTGAAACAGTTGGGGTTGAAAGCTCTCCATCATCCACCGTACTAGACCTTGCGCCTGAAGACTACTACCTTTTCCAGAATTCGGATATTTTTTGGCGGGAATAAAATTCAATACCCGAGGGGCAGTACAAAATGCCTTTGAATAATTTGTTGCCTCCCGTCCAGCTGATTTCTTCAAAAAGGGAATCAATAAACTGTCACTGTGTATACGAAGTAGCATTATTGCATGGATAATTGCTTTGATTAATAAAAAAATATAGAAAATAAAATTATGGTAACTTATTTAAAAAAAAGGCAATTTCATAGGTAAAGACCTCATATTATCGCAATTCGTGAGCCCTGAGTTAGAATGATAAGTCAGTAACGTTTTATGCAAGGCTGACAAACGAACACATTCCACCTGGTGGTAAGTTGATGTTGTGGTCCATAGACACATCTATCCTCGGTTAGGAATCACAATCCAGATGCCTTGTCACCCCTAAAGTCCAAGATGGTTTGCCTCATTACCTTACATCACAACATTCCACTTACAAGGGTTTTCGTTTTATTATTTTATATATTCCTTTTTTTAAACTGAAAATTTTGATATGTACAGGTGAATTGTAACAAAAAGTGTTATCATAACATAGACATTTATACTACTGCATAATCGATGTATTATAACTATATTTTTGTAAAAGTCATTTTACATCAATGCACCGTGTCGATATATATTATGAGGAAGCGATAACTCTTTCTTATTACTCGTACAAATAATGTGCGTGACACGAACTGTGCAGACCGCACAAGTAATAATAATTTTATATTATACTCATGCGTGCCACCCTGTAGGGTAGGCAGCGACTACAGACTTTCATTTGGCACGATCTTGACACACTTCTCTCGCTTCTTTCGCATCCATATATGTACACATACATGGTCTTAGGTTGAAGGTACTCTTAACTTGGCCCATCTTCAACACATCGCAGGTTTGGTCAATAAACCTTCGACTAGGGAATCCATTGTCAACTTTGCCATTCACTTTAACAGCATAAAGCTTTTGTAACTCTTTCCTTATTCATTCTTTGTTCAGATCACCGAAGCATTCCGCACAATACGAAATGGCTCCGAGTTCTCGAACAAGAAATGTATAAAATTAAACTACCTAATAGCCATAACTTTTCTAAATATATTTTCCAAATTGGATAGAAGTTATTATATTCTATTATATATAACAGAAGTATTTTAACATACACCATATCTGATATATTTGGCGAATCGCTTCTCTTTGGCTCCATTGTTTGACTCGACATTACTTTTATTAATTTATAGATATTTTCATAGTAAGGAAAATATATTAATTGAAAATTTAATATTTATATCTATATTAACAAAATCACAAAAATAAAATAAAATAATATAATAAATACGCTAACAACGTGACATAATTATTGTCAATTGACATGACATGACAAAGACGCTCTATTTTTAAAAATAATTCGTGGTTGCGTATAGTATTGTTGGAGGTTTTGTATATTTGCTTAATAATCCTATACCTTGAAACGAGCAATTCTGGTTATATATATATATATATATATATATATATATAAACATAAATACACGGTTATTTAACCGTGTATTAACAATATGGTATTAAGGGTAAAATCGACCAAATACCATGTTACACCATAATAGCAAACCCTCGAATAATTTTATTCGTTGGTCTTCTTAGATAACTTCGTTGGCGTTTTTCCAACACAAATGGATAACATTTGATAATTATATTTTGTCTACGACTTTGGTTGTTAACAGAAAATAATATCGATAAGTATTATAGCCAAAGAAGGCTTTACGTACTTTCCGAGGCACGGGGTTCGGATACCGACAACTTCCTGACTCCGGGCAACTACTGAGAATATCGTGACGGAAAAACTCAATAAGGGATTTTTTGGCCCAACCCGGGATTCGAACTCGGGACCTCATAATCAGCAGTCATGTTCACAACCACTAGATTAACGTGGCAGGCCATATGCTTATTATGAACAAGTTAATGTAATTTTTTACAGTGCTAATTTCAGGTAATAAATAAATATTTCTATCAACATCACTATTTTAACTAAAATTTTACATACTTTAGGCCGCTAATTATAGTGAAATATTGGTCAAGTTAGTAGTAAAGGCGAACTTGACGTAGTATAATGTTTTTTTTTATAGAATAAGGTTGAAAAACGAGCACACAGTCCACCTGATGGTAAGTGGATGTTGTGGTCCATAGACATCTACATTTATCCTCGATCAAGACAGATGATGGCAGATGCGTTGTCACTCCTGAGGACTAATATGGAATGCCTCGTTTCCATTAAAAAGGGTTACCGGATCTCTACACTCACCATACGAAACACAGCAGTATTAAGCTGCTATTTTACGCTGGTATTCTGTGAGAGCGTATTCCTTCCCCGGTCGAGCCGACCCTTTCGTGCTACAACCATAATATAGCATTACTTGTTTTTAGTATTTTATATTTTTTATTTAAAAGTATTTTATATTTTATTTAAAAAATGCAGTTGAACGCCACTGTGCTTCGTATGGTAAGTGTAGATAACCGAAGACCCTTTTTTACTGGAAACGAGGCATTCCATCTTAGTCCACACGGGTGACAACGCATCTGCATTTTGATTTGTAGTCAATGATAGATGTAGATGTCTGTGGATCACAGCATCCACTTACCATCAGGTGGACTGTGTGCTCGTGTGTCACTCTTATCCTATAAAATAATAAATAAATAAATAAAGTATAATGTTATTGATAGTTCAGTATTAGGATTTATTGATAGTTTATAAGACATATTTATATACCATAGTAAGAATTGCGCGGCGGCACAGTTTTCGCATAATTTGACATTTGCTGTCTGCATTTATCAAGTTTTGCCAACTTCATATTGTGCATTTTAGTTCGTATGTTTCCGCGGGACTCCTTTCGTGAAACAAATTCTATTTTAAATCTAAGACTATCGTAGAGTTGTTTTGTGTAAAATGGCTAAAGGTGTGGGATATAATAGGATGTTTGTTTGCTGCTGCTATTATAGCTGCGGTACCTGCACGGGCGCTGCGTGCGGCTGGAGAGCTGGCGCAAGGCTTTGGTGTGGCAGAAGCGCTACCTGCAGCGCGTGCTGGCCGGCTACGCGCGCCTCGACCGCGCGCTGCAGCCGCCGCGCTCGCCGCAGCCCGCCGCCCGCCTCTTCAAGTACCTACCCTCACCTTTACATACACATGCTTATGAAATACGCACATGCAAATGAACACTCACATGCAAACGGAAATGCACACACACGCACATGTACTCGTCCATACTTACACATTGCACTTGAGATTGAAGTTAACTTGGGTCAGAAACTGTAATTTCTCGCCATGTCATTCTTCATTCCATCAACCTAATGCATAATTTAGATCTCGTGCAAAATTATATTGTTTGGTGGAGGTATAACCCCACGATGTAGATTTTCAAAAATAATTCAATTTACGTATTTCTTAAAAATTTGCCAACACTGTTGAACTATCGCTTTGGTGAGTGTAGATACCACAGTGATATAACTGTTTCGTATTATCATAATGGGAGATTTGTTATTATTTTTATTTAATTTTACGACTTATTACCCTCATAATAAAGCCTACTGTCCTATTACACTATCAATATTGTCGTGTTATCAGCGTAAACGCATTTATCACCCAATTTGTTTTAGTAGGTGCCCTAAGAGACGACTTTGGAAAATGCCGAAAAACGTAAAATATCAGCCCGGCAACAGACAATATCATCAAAATTGCAAGACATACACTGTGTTACTAAATAAACTTATTTTGTTTTCTTTACTTTTTTATTCGTGACATCTTTTTGGTAATACTGTTGAAACGGTGATAATGATGGTGGGGTGGCGGTGCGCAGGTGCGTGGGCATGGCGGTGGTGGCAGTGGTGCGCATGCGCTTCCTGGTGCGACGCCGCGAGCACACGCGCCGTGCTGCTGCCTTGCTCTGCACCGACCTCAACCACGACAACAACCTCACCAACACCGGACTCGCTGTCTCACGGAACGATATCACGTAATTATTCACCATTAAATATTCGTTTTTACTTTTATAATTACCTTAGGACAGGCTTTCTCAAACTTATAGCATATGTACCCCTATTAAATTTTCTCTGAGAAATGTGAACCCCTATCTGTTTAAAGACAAAGATAAGATTCTTTATATCTATTTTTCTTTAAATCGTTCGAGTTCGAGATATTGCATCTGCTTGATTTTACGCATTTAGAAGTGTTTTAGTATTATTTTATAACGTTTTTCCGTTTTCTTCTTTACCTACCGGTATATTTATTTATAAGAAAGTAATGTTATATCCTATTAGGCCGAATATATATAATATAATAAAAATTATCATAGGATACCGAACTGCCTAAAACCTTCCTAGCAATGAAAGGAGGGCTGTTCCCAGCAGTAGGATGTATATATCCCGTTGCTTTACTTTACTTACAGTACAAAATAACACTCCTATGAATTAGAAAGAGTTTTATTCACACGCATAGACTTATTATACTACTGCGTAAGGACCGGGTCATTGAACAAACAAAATGGCACCGACACATTGGTGCTAAAATGTTTATGAAGCACCAACACGACCACCAGTGCGTGCTGTGCATCCGTGCAGTATTTCCACTGTTTACATATTTTGCACTATTTTAGAATAAATCACTAATATAGGTAGGGCGTTTCTTCAAGTTGACAGGGTTTTTGATAATTTGGGGTGAAATCGAACTTCATGTAATCCTGATTTTTATTCCCACCCAATGTATTTTTTAAAGAATTATCCAAGGGAATGGGGTCAAAAGAGCTAGAAAAGTGTAGAACAAAAAAGTTTTTCGTTGATAAGTAATATAATAAATACAATAAATAAAACAGAATAATGGTATATTTTTACTTAGTTACATATTCGTTATTCATATGAAACTAAGTGTTATTGTAATTTGAAAATGACAACGTTTTCTTCATCACAAACTTCAAGATTTTTAATCGTGAAATGATATTCAAATCTCGCAATGATGTTCTTTAAAATATTGAAAAATTGGTGCAATGAATAAGGCTATTTTGATTTATTTACGATAATTTAGGAAGTATTTCTACAGGTTCTAGTGTAAAACCAAAATCAAAAGTGAAAACACTGGCTTCGTGGTAGTTTATGAGTATTTAAGAGATGGCGCTGATTTATTCTATGCTTAAACCGTGAACAATTTTTGTTCTCACTGTCATATCAATCTTCACACGATGTAAATATTTTCCTGGAAATGGGAGTCCGTTGCCTTGCCCCGCGCTTTACTGCCACTGCCGAGTATCGTACGTCACATATCGTCAAAATATTTGAAGTTGCATTGAGATGCAAGTTTTCTTACAAGCTATTGGCTCTGCTGACTTATAACTAATTGAAAATGATCTATTCCGACGGCGGTGGATCTCGTGTTGCTCGCGTATTACGACATTGAGGTGCTTAGATTACGCCAAATGCGACTTTATTGTGTATAGATTACGGTTAATTTTTGCATATTATAGCGTTACCAGTCTATTAAATGCACTGCGGAACATAAGCCCCCTACATAGATTGCAGTCACGCTTGGCAAGCGCACCCCACCCAATCCGCTGTTATTTATTTTTTGATGTTATTAGGAAGACACTGACCTCTTGATTTCTCCCTCTGTCGCTTCTTACAACTCTACCCACAGGTAGAGTTACCAGATGACAAGAATTTTCCTGACATGTCTGGAATTTTAGCCTTCTGCCAGGGAGACAGGGAAAATTTGATATTGTCAGGAATTTTTGAAAGAGAAATTCTCAATAATTAAATTGTTAAATTAATCTGATCTGGTGCATACTTTTTATTCCTAGATTATTGCGCATAATATCAAACACATATATGCGAGTTTTTACGATTAGATATTTTTGCAGCAAGTCCGTCAGTTAGGAAATGTATTGGAAAGCCAGGGAAACTACTAAGAAAACTCATTTACGGACCCGACCCACGGGACGATATTGGGTAGTGAATACTCTTACACCGTCATTACACGGTAATGTGCATAATATATTAATTATTGGCATACCTCTGTGTTGTCGCAGCAGTACGCCGCTGGCTTGCCCCCGGCAGCTGCTGGGGGGAGGGGTGCGCCGTCTGCGCGCCGCCCACACGCCACAAACCTCTTCCCCCACCCCCACCCCCCGCACACCTCATACACCGAAAACCCTCTACGCGCCCCACACCCCCCCTCGCCAAACCATCCCCACTCACACCAATCACCTCGTTCGCTTCGCGTGCAGGTAACTCGCTTTTTATATAACTTTCCAGACTAATTTTGGAACATTCACATTGTATACACACGCATATCAACACATACACTTTTCCTATCATCCCAATTAAAAAACATGGACTAGACAAAGTAGGCGATTTCGATGATAGTAGCCAAATGCCAGGGTGCGGACTGCGAACTCAATAGGTCGTGGATTCGAATTCTCCATTCGACTGCTGTTGTAAACCACTCCTAACTCAAGAATTTAAGCTTATCAGAAGTAGTTTAAAGGTAAAATATGTAATTTTAAATACATTGTTGGTATTTTCTAAAAAAAAAAAAAGAGAAAAACGATTTCACGCGAGTGTCTTGCACCTACACTATCCAGAACATTCACACAATATATTAATTTGAACTAGACATGGGACGAGTACTCGGTTTGGATTCGGTAATCGGCGGATTCGGTCTTTTTTTAGGGTTCGTCCGAGCACCGAGTATTAACGGCCGAGTAGCGAGTACTCGGCCTTAATTACATTTCAGATAAAAATAAAGACAAAAAGCCAGTTTTTATAATTATTATTATGTTAGACACATTAAAATATCAGGAACACGAGAAACAGCAGAAATATTGAGAACGAATCTCTAATAGAAATTATTATTGCTAATATTAAATTTTAAGGGAGGAAAATTGTGTCGCCAAAATACTAGTTTTTCGGCCCTATTTGGGTCTAGTTTGCTACTTTTTGTTTCATCATTTGTACATTGTATCGAAAGAAAAGTTTCAAGTAAGTACTTGTATTTACTCGCATCATTTCATCCCTAACTCTGCATAAGAGAAATAACCGCGCGCCGCCCGCTACCGCGTTTTTTGAAGCCGAATATTCGGCCGAGTACTCGGTGGCCGAATATGAGGCGAATCACTACTCGTTCCATGTCTAATTTGAACCCTTCCTTTTTTTGATGACAAAATTAGTCAAATGTAATATCTATCTATATCATATTAATTTATTAAAGCAACTACAATATAGAAAAATAAATAAATATTTTATTTGCAGTGGGTGACGACGTACGAGAAACTCTATGCGATGTGAACTCTCCGCGAAACGAATTTTTCCTAAGGTTTGTTCAATTTCCAAAATCTATAAATTGTTTATATTATAACAAAACGTTACGAAGGAAAATAAATTATATCAACTATTAGTATTTTATAATAAACTGACGCTAACAAAGAGAATATAATAGAGTAGAATAGAAATTATATTTATTTTATCATCAGAAACAGGTACAGAATTATTGATGACAAACATTGGTATTTTTTCGTTGACCACATATTGTATATGCCCCCAGCTAACGGGTTATCCCGTTACTGTACACTTACAGTTACTGTAACTGTACAGATCCGTCTTAGCACGTCTATAAGGGAGACTAGCTGCAGTTTTAAGGATTGCTCGTTGAGCTTTCTCAGCTTCAATAAGGTGAGTTTTAGCTACACCACCCCACACTGTGATGCAATAGCTGATTATAGATTGACTTAGAGCGTAATAAATAGATTTGATAACGGAACGATCAGCTATGTGTCGGAGGGATTTAAAAATATAAATTGGTTTTCTCAGTCTAGATACCAAGGAATCGATGTGCAACTTGAAGTTGAGAGTAGAATCAACAATGACTCCTAGGTATTTAATGGATTCAACTCTTTCCAGTGTAGGACACAAACAAGAGGTGTAATTTAGAGAGCCGCAGTCTTGGGCAAAGATAGAGCCAGAAGTAGGTTGAATCGACTTCTTTAAGGCAAATGTCATGTATTTGGTTTTTGTAACGTTGAGAGTAAGTACGTTATCAACCAACCGTTTGTTTGTTAACAAATTTTTGAACCATCCCTAAAAACTGTGTCATCAGCAAAGGTTTCCCTCGAGGTAGCTGGATCTCGCACAGGTCATTAATATAAATGAGAAACAGCTTTGGACCTAAAATGCTTCCCTGCGGTACACCATAGGTTATGTAAGGTCGTTAGTCATTACTGAGAAAATCACCAAGCATGAATCTCTGCTACGATTGGTGAGATAACTCGCAAATAGATATAATGCTACGCCTCGTACACCTACTCCCTTCGAGTTTGTTTAACAAACGAGGAACGGAAACAGCGTTAAAGACCTTAGCTAAATCAATAAAGATTGCCATATTCTTTTTGCCGTAATCAAGATCAAAGATTAATGTATTTGTAACTTGGTAGAAAGGCATCCTCATTTGACCTTCCGACTCAGAATACAAATTGATTATGAGAGATAACGTTCATTGAGCATAAGAAAGCAATAATTCTCTTGTTTAGGATTATCTCTAGGATCTTAGATAAAGTAGGTAGTTTTGATGTAGGTCTATAGTTGCTAACGCAGTCACTGTCACCTCCCTTGTGGATTGGTTTGATAATCGAGATCTTTAGAAGTCTAGGGAAGGTATCGGTTTCGAGGGCAGCATCACAAATGTGGGTTTTTGATGGTGTCAACAAATAACTATGTTGCTTGAATAGCCAACCGGGAATTAAGTCAATGCCTGCAGCACAATCGCCCTTTAGTCCCATTATTATTTTGCCATCCTCATCTTCATCTGTAGGTAGCAGACAAAGCGAATTGGTGAGGAGTGGTTCCGGAGTGCCAAACTTAAATTTAAAGTCCTCAGGTAATTTATTCCCAACTCTAGCAAAAAACTCGTTAATCAAGTTGGCAGTAGCAGTTGGATGTTTTCGGTAAGGTAAATTGGATAACAACATGTCGTCTTTTTTCTTTGTGTATATTTCTTATTACATTCCAGAGTTCCTTTTTGTTTGTTCCTGCTTGTTGTATAAGTTTTTATAAGGGTATTGTTATTTGGATCTTTTTTACTTTTTTGTGTAGGTTATCACGGTTTCTCGTACAACGCAGAATACCTGACGTTATCCAGGGTTTCATAGTCTATTTTCGCCTCGGAACTTTAGCTACTTTGGAGTTATTCAAAATACATTTGTTGATAGCTTGGATGAAGGACTCTGTGACCTTATCAACGTTATCCATTTGATATACCGAAGAAAAGTCCATATTTAGTAAGTCGTTTTGTAGTCCCACCCGATCTAGACGTTTTAGTGTGGTTTGGTAGTTTTCTTTGAGGTCTCACTTCAAACATATGTTAAGGGCTACTCCATCATGATCACTAAGTTTAGTCGCTAATGTGTAAGATAGTAGATATTATTGCAATTGAATTATATAGGAATTGTAGTGGATGACTTCATAGTTTCATGAAATCAAAGAAACATGTTATTTGTATATTTTTAAATATTAGAAATCGCATTCAACTTAAAACGGGGGGAAGATTTCATATTGACAAAATTCTGCCAAGAGATATTCCATAATAAAAACTTAATACGGAAAATCTTACTCTATATACGTTACAAAAGTAATTTAAATTATTGTCCGGTTTGTAGTAATTTTAATAACAGCGGTGTCATCAAGTATCCAATTCCTCGGAAGCGAACTTTTGTGGTATATTCTCAGGCCAGTTACAGTAAGAGCGCGATACGAAATAAGTTTAAGGATCATCACTAGCAGACAGGTGAACAACAAATGTAGATGGGTGATCGACTTCCAGATCCCCGCGTGGTGAAATAGCGAGTGTGTATCTGGACAAGCTGGACGCGGTCAGCCGCTGCCTCGGGCGCGTGCTCGACTCCCCCCGCCAGCCTCACACCCCGCACCTCCCCCCGCACTCCCCGCGGGACGTGCCGTGACCCAGCCGCACGTGACACAGTCGAGTGCCTTCACACCGCCCCGCCGGCTAGATGGCTGCCAGCCAAGTGACGGGACATCTATGTCGATATTTTCACTAAATTGAACATTCACCTAATCCACCTATAAGTGACATATCTAAGTAAGCAATTTGATAAAATTCCTGTTATTTTTATATTCAAAATTATTAATAGAATACTGATCACACCTTTACTATGAGCTTAACAATCTTACATTTACATAATGCGAACTTGTGTATGGAAACTTTCAAATTTTGATACATTATACTATAAAGACAAATTTATTAATAATCTCGTAACCAAATAATGAACACTTGCTATAATCGCTTGGGTTTGGGACACGGCTTTGGTTGCCATACAATAAATGATATGCCATAATAAAAAATATATGATAATGATAAAAAGGGAGCAGCTGTACAGTTCTTTTTATCGCATACAAAACCTATCAAATTCATTCAGTAACAGCAACAATTTTATTTTATTAAGTTTTAAAGGTCAGGTTACGTTACCGCTCTTAAAGAATTTCACTTTACGTTTATGAATAATGTTGCAATTCATTTAAAATAACATAATAGTATTTAGTGTTCAAAAATATGACGTTATATCTTTTATCTTAAAAAATAATACAGTTTTCATTTATTGTATGATAATTCCCAACACCCGGTACAATCAAATTAATTACAAACAAGCCATACACTTTAGTATTAGCGGATGAAAGACCTTATTTTTATATAGAACAACTCTGATACAAATTCGGCTACGTGCTATAAAGCCCGCTCACAAGGTGCTAAGGTCACAGGTGCATTTCAGTTTGTTTACTTGACGCATTTCCTCAACGCTAGAACTAAGTATTAGATTAGTGCCAAATTGAGAATGTATTTAGTTGTTACTTAATTTATTTATTAAATTAATTGTTAGGATGTAAAAATTGCGCACTTTATTGTTTATGATCCGCCTAGGTGTCTCTGGTTGATTATTGAATGTGTAAGTTATAGCTGTTGTCAACCGAGTCTTCGGAATAATTGTTACTTTTATTTATATTTTCTAGCTATAGTTTATACGAACAAATAATTACTTTATCGATATGTGTCTACTGTCTACGTACGTCACTAGTGCTGTTATTAATAAGTTATTATCGCTTGCACTTACAAGTGTTATTAATAAAACACTTGTAAGTGCAAGAGAGATGTACGGTAAAAAAATATTTCGGAGACTCGGTAATGTTGACATTATGTGCTGTGTATGATAAAAAGTGAAATTCGGAATGGCGATAAAAATATCGACTTTCTAGGGGTGAATCAAGAAAGAATAAAAAGGTAATAACAATGCTTTGAAAGTTAAAAATATGTATATTTTGTACTCCGATTTATTTTATTACGTTATATTCAATTTTCAATCAAGTGTGAAGCAATATAAAGTAGAATTTTGAATGACATCACGTGTCTGTGAACAGGCAGTCCAAGAAGTGCTGAATTAATAGTAGTGCTAATGAGGTGTAAATTTTCTCAAATATTTGTAATAATTGTAATTTTATGTCTGACTCTGCCTTATTAAGAAATAGGTTAAAATAATCTGTCGTCATCACTTTCATACATACAATGTATCCCACTGTTGCATTTTAAATTTAGAGCCAAATTCAAAGCACAATATAACTTGCCATATGATTTTTATAATTTTAGTTATTTTCTCGTTAATTTGTTTAAATATGTATTAAGTGTCGTGACGCAAGAAAGTACAAGTTAGTTAAGTTAGATTAAGTTAGCGACCCTCGATCGCAGCGACCGAAATATTCTCGAACGTTCCGCGACCGGTGACTTCCCACTGTGCAAACATACCACAAATGTTTCAAAGAACTTTTTAATCTGTCCACGCTTGCAAAATGGTTTAACTTAAATATTCGTGTTTGACTATCAGTTTTTATTTATCATTACGAATAACAACAATTTTAATTAATATAAGTTGGTAAACGAACACCATTTTCTTTCTCTGAATAATCTAGTTGCTGTATGAACTGGTGCAGAAAGACTTGATATAGTACAATGAAACTATATATTACGAAGTTCTTGCTAACTTTTTCAATTTTTTTTTTCTTTTATTCTTTTGCATTGAATTTTTTTCCATTTTAGGGGGGGGGGTTTAGGACAATTATTAAGACAAAATTTCGTGTTATTATTTTTTGTAGGTTATTTTTTTAATTGTTGACTTTATTGTGTATAGAAGTTTATGATTTTCTATGTCGTTCGATATGCATGCATTAGTTGGATGAAATATGACTAGATACAATAAAAATGTACATAATTTATACTATACTAGTTTATGATAACACCACTAGCTCCATATCCACTGTAATATTATATCAATTTAGTTTTATCTATGGTCTATATTCTTACAACCAAAGTAAATAAAGTATTAAATATTGCTGTGTTGAGGTTATATTTTTTCAATAGGAGGACATATTTTTTTGATAAATATTTGTGACGTTTGACATGTAATGAATTTTTCACAAATGGCAACACTTGTTATAGAAACGCACTATATAGTTATATCAAGGCATGTATGAGTATGTGCTGTTATTTTTACGTAGTTCTATATATACACTAGTCTTTTTGACCACAAATTAGTAGTTTCTTAATACTAAGTTATAAATATAAAGATATATTCCTTTTAGTATAAAAATAATAAACAGTTCTTATCCCCGTTTCATAATGTTAAATGTTTGAGTAAAATAAATAATTTTGTCTGAAGCGATGAATTTCGTTTTATAATTATGATGAATAGTGCGACGGAAACAATTTACAACGCAATTGTTATTTTATGAGTAAAAATGATTCTATTCCGTAACCAGATGTACATTACTTGATTAGGAGTTTTTATACACATTGCAAGCGTGGTTATAGTTGCGTTCATTAACACTAAGCCAATTTTTAACAATTTTCGGACGATCTACACTCAATGTGACCAAAGATTCCTGTAGCTTGTTTAGTTTCCAAATTATTTGTAAGTTAGTATAAGAAAACAACCATTGTATAAACCCATCGAATTTTATTATGCACCTCTGGTATGTATGAGACACGCGTAGGATGTACACAAAAAAAAATTATAAACATGCGTTTATAAATTTTTGGTTTTCAGTTGCGTAAAATTAAAGTATGTACCTTTGAAATATATTGAATCTTATCACAACGTCTTAAGGTTCAAATTGTAAAAAGTAGATGCGTGACACTGAATAAACCCAATAATAAACCTGTGCCTATCTCATACATGTTTGCTATTATGTTTTGTATCACAACGAAATTTTGTCATCTCTAGTCACACACCCATCTCTCACAATTGTGCCATAAATGCTCTCTAGATTTAAAACAAACAAACAAAAACACGATGTAAAGTTGATATTGAATAAAATAAATAAAACGATATTTTCTAAACGCCTCCTTTCATTTCCCGCGTTCGGGGTTTCCGCAGGGCGCCACAGTGACGGGCGGAAGCACTACGTCACTCTGCAAATAAAGATGAGGATAGATTATTGTAGTGTACTTCACAACTTTGGGGTCGCCCTAGACGGAAGTATAATGACCAGATTTTTTTTAATATAGGGGGCAAACGAGTATGCTACTCACCTGATGGTATAAGTGACTACTGCTGCCTATGAACTACTGCACACCAGGGGAGTTGCAGGTGCGTTGATGGCCTTTTAGAAAGGAGTAAGCTCTTTCTTGAAGGTCGCTAAGTCGTATCGGTCCGGAAAAATCGCCAGTGGTAAACACAATTTGTGCGAGGAAGAAAACTCACAGTGGTGGACCGCCAGCATCCAGATGTGTGGATGGTATCGTGAGTTTTGTCGCTATGTGCGTTCGTGAAATTTGGCGGAATCGACTTAAAAAAATTGACAATATATTAGGAGTATTCTTAACCGCCTAGCATGTATACATAGATCTGTTCTAAGCGAGCGAGATAAGTCAAGATCGTGCTAAATGCAAGGCTTTAGTCTCTGCTTACTCCACTGCGTGATAGGCAGGGACATGAATGCTAAGCGAAGACGAACTGCTTCCATTGCGGCGGGTGGGACTAGATCTCCGCGTCCCATATTCTTGCAGTATCCTTCGCGTGGGAACGGGTGCGGAATCGGCTTGAACCTCTCCCTGCCAGCAATAATGTCGGCGGTGCTGAGCTGGGATTTGACGTGGAAGGCCGAAGCCATCTTCTGTGATTACGGAATGGTTCAGCAAGAGACTATGAGCGGTATCTGGAGACAGCCTGATCGCATTCGGTGACAACGTCGCCAGGGCGGTGCCACGACTTTCCCCTTGATGATAGTGTTCCCTTACTAGAAACTGAGCCTCTGGAGATGCGAACTTTGGGGGCGGAGGCCCTGAATCTAATAATCGGAAGTAACCAAAAGACGCTGCGATAGCATTGCGAGGGTGTTACGTGTTTCCAACACACACTTTTTGTTACAATAAAGCAAGACGAGAGAGGAGCCCGGGTTGTGTTTCTAACAAAAATCCCGGGACCCCTCGTATACGCTAATGGTGACCTTCGTGAGGTATTAGCCGGTAGGAGTCCGGCATAATCTTTCCATTGCCCCCACAGCCGAAGATTCATTCATTCATTATAGTCCTTAAATACACTGCTAAATAAAGGCCACCCCCAAGGAACGCCGCAAAGCACGGTCCTGAGCCACCTGCATCCATTGACTTCCTGCATATCTTACCGAGGCGTCACTTCATCTAGTTGTGGCCCTACACTGCGCCTATCAGTACGAGGCTGCCACTCTAGAATCTTCATTCCCCATCGCTTGTCGATTCTTCATGTTGTACAGCCAGCCCATTGCCACTTCAGCTTACTAATGCGTTGGGCTATTCAGATAAATCTAGTTCTGCGAATATCCTAATTCTCCACGGTCGAAGGTATTCGTGAGGATTTCCCCACAATAAAACAGTATTGTGAAAAAAAAAATGACGTCAATTGAACCTGAACGCATTGTTGCTGTCCGTTTGTGTATGATATTATTCTAATTGGATTGGTTAATTATTTTACTTACTTGCGAACTCTTCCTTTGCAGTCCATTTGCAGGGCCTTGTCTCTTGTAATCTTCTTCGGGTGTTTCCAGTAGAGTAGTATCTGAATTATCGGCCTGAAGTCAAACGGTAATGAATACGCACAGTAAATAAGTATACCAAAGTCAGAATCAGGCAGATTGAGGATCGCAATGCCTTTGAGCTTGTTGCCCTTCGCTGGTTTGGGTATTATAGCATAGCGTAAAAGATTGACCCGTTGGCGAGAAGACTGTATCGAGAGTGTAAGAATATCCGCTACCATATCGTCCATGGATGGTGTATAAAGCGAAAGAGGAAACATTTCCGGAGATAGGCAGCAACGTCTTCCTACCAAATCCTCCTTATGATCTAAGGGGGAAGAGGCCTACGTTCAGCTGTGGACTTATATATAGGCTGTAATGGATGGATGTTATTATGGATTATTTCTTGTTTAGGTCCGTTAGGACGTACCAACATAAGCAGTTCCAAGAATATTGTACATTCCTTTAGATACTTCGGTATAACTGCTATGGAGCTTTGCACACCGACAAGCTATAACGTAAATTGTACTAAACTATGTCAGGTTTTGCCCTTTTAAATTTAAATGTTTTTAGTAGGATATAGTTAACAGTAACAAGTGATAACCAAATTCTACCTTAATACTTAGTACTAAGTCCTAGTAATAATACATACGTTGTGATTCAATCCGTCCCTTTTGCGAGCAAGTGTGTGCGGAGCTGTAGCGGCGGGTTCGTCCAGTGGTGGGGCGTGGTCGCAGTGCGTGCGGTCCCGCGGCGCGTAGTGCGGGAAGTGCGCTTGCAGACTCCGCGGTAGTTCCGGCAACGCATACAACCGGTGTTGCTTACAGTACCGCTGCATATACAATACAAAGTACATAATACAATGTATGGGGAGGAGGGGGGACTGAGGTGTTTGAAGTCCCGATGTTATAGTTATCCCGACTACTAATATTTTTACAATGAGTGATAGCGGCGAGTCATGAGCACCAAATGACAGCATTTTTGTACAAGAACATTCTCCAGTCAAAGTAAGTATATCTTAGTCAAAATACTGTAGAAAAATGTTACGTGAATATCCAAAGAATGATGAAGATTAACTAACGGACCAATCACGTGGAAAAATGTTCACAGTAGCCACCCCGCATCCTTGTACTTAATCCAGAATTGACTGTCTCGTTGGTTTAGTGGTCGTAAACGCGATTGCTCATGAAGGAGGTTTATAGCACAGAGTGACAAACGAGCACACATTCCACCGGAAGGTAAGTGGATGCTGTGGCCGACAGATATCCACATTTATCCTCAATTAAGGATCAAAATGCAAATGTTGTCACCCCTGAGGACTAAGATGGAATGCTTAAAAAGGATCTCCGGTTCTCTACACTCACTATATAAAACACAGAAGGATTAAGGTGTAATTCCGTAGCCGACTACAGGCAGCAGCAGTAAGCCACGTGTCGCTGCAACATGTGGCGTCATGTCGCTGCAGTCATGATTCCGAACCCTAATGCAGACGGCTGCAGCCCGTGTCCACTATCCAGTCTGTTCTGAGTGTTCAGTGGGACATGATGTGTGACGTGTTTGAAATTAGCGATTGCGATTTATTTTTGTATCTTTTGTTAGAAGAGGAAGATGATGATGACTTGCTTTTATTATACAAGTATAAAGAGAAAAGACACACGTCCGAAGTGAGGGAATGTACAGTGCGGGATATTGGGCCACCCGGTTTATCAGTTTCTGTTCCCCGGAATCGGTGAAACTCATTTTTAAGAAAAATTCAACGTGTTGTCGCTCGGGCGTCGGCGGCACTACTGATCTGCGGTCGGGCTACAGTGTAGTCTGCCGCTAGGCAAACGATGTGTCGCTAGCTGCGGAACGTATTTCATTTTTTTACATAGAAACCAGTTGTGTCGCGACGACACGTCGCTTGCTACTGCTGTCTGCAGTCGGCTACGGAATTGTACCTTTAAACTGCTATTTTACGCCGGTATTCAGTGACAGCATGGTTTTGCCCCGTTCGAGCCGACCCATTCGTGCTACAACTATTATATAGCTGCAGCGTAGCTGTACCACGTAAAAAAAATACCTGGTCTTGAATTCCGAGTAGGGCCAAAATCAGTTCAGCTTATGAAAGCACGGTCGTGTTTGTGGATAACCGTCCTATCGGACTATATGAGTGAGAGAATAGTTTTGCTTGCGAAGAATACCCTCGGGCACTGTAACCGTGTCCTGCACAGATGGCTAGTTTCGTTGAGACTATCCGCCGTGACTGAAGCTCAGTCTGCAGGATATAACTTCAACCAAGTAAGCTATAAATCGACCATTGCGCATGTCAAAGCTGTGCTCACGACTCGTGTCACTACGTTTGCGGTGTAAGAGGAGCGTGTATGTGTACAGATGGGAGTGCGTGCGATGAGTGAAAGGATCTGTACGTACATCGAGGGCGCGGCGCAGGGCGTGCGTGGGGCGCGCGTGGCGCTGCGCGTGCTGCAGCAGCGCGGCGCCGTGCGCCAGCTCGCGGCACACTGCGTGGCGCTCGCGCTGCTCGGCCAGCTCGCCGTGCCACCGTTGCCACGCCTGCTTCTCGCGAGCCTCGCGCTCCTCGCGCTCCCTCTGCACACCACATCCGAACGTCCACTACCGTCCGCTCTGTGACGGCGTGCTTATCGCGCCACAGTCTATTGTTGTTACACAACATAAAACAAAAATCTTTTGGTTCCCGTTATGTAGGTTATTAGAATCAGTATCCACGGCTCCATGGCACAGTGGTCTAGCATGGGAGTTGCGGCGCTAAGAGCCGCGGGTTCGAATCCGGCACGGAAAAAGTATTGCCTACAAATTATTATTCCGGGATGTTTGTTCCTATGCAATGTATATATATATAAACTGCCTCCAACTCTATTTATATTCTTTATAAATAGAGTCGGAGGATAACGTAATTGAACTATATAAATATGAACTATTCAAGAATATTTCAGTTCAATTCACTTTATGGGCATGCACTAATTAGGTCGGCATGCCCATAAAGTATGACATTGACAGGTACTGTCTGTACTACTAAGAAATTCAGGACCTCATAGGCGTGATTTTACTGACAGCTGTCGCAGAGATCAAGTTATCTTTTATGAACTATAATCACTCCTGTGAAACCTTCTTCGGTGTCTTTCTAGATATCGTACATTCTGCCTTTGCATTACTTTAACAAAATCACTTCTTAGTAAAATATAACTAAATGAACTTCTTACTTGTTTACTTACCCATAACCTCAGGAGTTCCTCCCTATATTCCTTTGTTTTGCGATCCTTTTCCACACGTTGCTTCTCCATGTAGTCCTCATATATTTCAACATTTTTGAATCTAACAAGAGAAACGTGCAAAAGAATCCTGATTATTATAACACATCTTGGTTTAATAACGACAAGCGGTATATTAACCTACTTGGTAATCTATGACTTTATTCTGATGAAGGTACCTAAAGATCTATTGTGGCAATAAACACTTGTTATACTCGAGCTAGTTTCTATTTTTTTATTCAAATTTACAGTCCACCGATAGTAATTGACTATTACAGTCTCTATATTATCTATAACCTAGACATCAATACGCTCATAAAACGGAAAAACGCCATGCTTATATCTTCAAATGTTGTTATAGGTACAAGTTGCTACCTACATAATATCAACGTACGTACGTACATTAAAAAAATTACTTAAAATATTGTGATTAGATATCTTAACCTTGACTATAATAGTCACAAAAATATTGTAAAATTTAATTTATAATCGGTAGTTTCACTATAGGTTATACATATGTATAATTTTAATTTTAATGTATAATTATATATACCATTCAGTTTTATTTCTTTTGTATTTTAAATTTTTATACAACATATTGTGGTGGCAAGCTTTTACTACTGTTGCGCGCCACAGTTGATGGTACTAGCGCCATCTTTTATCGAACAGAGGAACTAAGCTTTTTAGAAAGCCCCACACTCGAGCATTCTGCACCTGGTCGGTCGGGGCCGGTATTTGCTGCTGTTTCGGTGTAAAAGGCCTATATAAAGCCGCTGACAGCCGCGATCGGGGCAGTATTGAATTGGCGATACGAAATAAAGGGAACTAAAGTGTTAAGTGTGAATAATTATTAGTGTGATTTAAGTTTTAATTGGTGTTCAGTAATTGCCAATTCAAAGAATTTTTATTTGAAATGGAGAGTGAGTATGCGGATTTTGCTTAATAACAAGGTACGTTGTTTATCAAGAAGGAACATTTTAAAACGTTTCGCGTACCTTTTTCCGGAAATTAAAGCATATCTCCTTACGAAGGGCGTTCACTATCCAGAACTAACACACGGTCAGTGGATCCAAAACTTTTATTTCATGGTAGACGTTACGTCTCATCTGAATCAGCTTAATCGTAAACTACAAGGGAAAGGAAACCTAATTTTTTCGATTTAAGAAGTAATAACATTCGAAACCAAATTATCCATTTTGCTCAGGATTTTGAAAGAGAATCATTGTTTCACTTTCCGAGCCTGCTGAAGCATCGCCAAAAAAATAATTCCTCGATAGACAAACACCATTTTAAATACGAGGGAAGCATTTCTCAGCAGGTTTCAGGAATTTAATAACAGAAGAAATTTAAAAAACAAGGAGATATGGTGTTCTAAATTCGAATGTCTTTGTATTGAATTGGAAATATTGGAGAAGAAAAAATGTGATCTTAATTCACAACACAAGTGGTCTGCTTTGAATGACCTGGAGAAGGAAGACATGATCATTTTCAACGTTTGGAATAGTATTCATGACTCTTACGATCAGCTGAAAAAGCTTGCGTTTGCTGTTCTTTCCATTTTCGGTTCTACATATATACATATATATACACGAACAAGCTTTTTCAAGCATGAACTTTATCAAAAATAAATTGAGAAGTCGTCTTATTGATGAGAACTTGGAATCATGCCTAAAATTAAAAACAACAACAGACAAACCTGACTTACTCAAACTGTTCAAGGAGATGTAAGCACATTGTTCACATTAATAAATATTTATTAAGTATGAAATTTAGTTTTATTTAGTGTACTACTTATTTATTGTAATAGAAGTTTACTAAACAAGCAGATTTGACTCCCAATTTTTTTTTAAATTGTTGTAATGTTCATATTTGGCTCTTTGGCTAATAAGTTTACCGACCACTGCGGTAGTGGATATTCTAACACCGCCACAACACGGCAAATGTAATTTTTTTTACTTTACTTTAATTCCACCTGTTTATGAGCTCCCACTGTCGCATGGTGTGCATCTCGTGCAGCTGCCGCTCCTCCTCTTGCAGGTGTGCCTTGTGCGTTTCCACGCGCTCCTCTCTCAACTGCGCTTGCTTCTTCGCCTGCGCCTGTTGCTGAGCCTCCGCACTGTTAATTGGAAATACAAGATGGAGTTTGGTTTAAATTTTGTTTAGTTTTTTGAAACACAACGAAAGTGACTCACGTAAAATGTAACGGAAGTACGATACTATTTTGTTAACAAAGAAAATTGAATATGAGACTGACTTCACTAGTCAAAAATATTAAAGATTTTTAACACGATTCGGTCTCATTCACATTTTAAGTAAAAATCTATGTTATGCTTAGTTAGAACTAACTTGGCTTCTCTTTCCTTAACAGCCTTTTCCAAAATCTCTTGTTCCTTCGCCTGCCGTGCCGCGTCTCCTGTCTCCAGCTTCTGGCTGATTTGCTCTAATACTCGCAGCTTTTCCTTTTGAATCTGAAATATTTTGTTTGAAGTCTTAAAATACATGACATGTCATTTGTTATCAATATGCACATAATGTTATATTTATAATATAATATTATCTCGTTTACTAATGGAAATAGGATGTATAAATTACGATTGTGGATATTTTTAATTAGGATATTCCGCAAATTAAATATTTTTAATTTAGCCTTAATGCCAGTCGACCTCTTGGAACATCTGAGGGACTCTGTGACGGACCTTCTTTCACTTTTTTTTCTTTATTCTAACGTAACACCTTAATTTATAACTTAAGGCGGACTAAATACTACGTTGCAATCTCTGCCAGTCAACCCTAGGTGCAAAAGACAATGTTGGCAGGTGCGAAGCATTGTGAGGTGTACACATATTAAAAACTAATTGTTCGCGACAACTAACTAATACAACACGCGACTTCGTCCGCGTGTTGTATATTGTTTGTTACGATTGGATTTTATAGGTTTTAATATTTTTGCGCGGAATCGCAACTTTTTTTCAAAAATAAAATCGCTATCCGCCAGTGAAAGTCCCGTCAAAATCTGTTCAGCCGTTTCAGACAATAGCCGGAACAAACAGACAGACATACAGACAAGCAAATTTAAAAAAAATTGTGTTTTTGTTATATCTACCACATATACTTAGCTACTTTTCTCGTCCCTATATTTGGAAATGTAAACATAACATATTTATAATATATTATCTAGGCATGGAAACATAAAATTCTACTAATAGAAACTATCAGTAGAATTTCATGTTTATATTATATAGTAGTTAGGTATTAGGTGGTAGGATGCTTAAGACTTCATCTGTGTGTCTACCACTCTTGCACTTGGGCACTTTATAGAAAGCCAGTATAATTACAGGCTGTGAAGCATTTCACCTTAGTCCTCAGAGGTGACGACGCATCTGTAGCCTTCTTGTTTGAAGTTAGCTGCAGGTGTCCATGAACTACACTAGCCACATAGACTCCGGAGTGGTGCCACCCTATCTCTTACGATGGGAATTTACAAAAGTCTAAATAGTAGTATATTATAGTAATACTATTACTGTTACAAAACCCACTGCTGAATATAGGCCTCCCCTATAGATTGCTTTATAATAGATATGCCTTGGCGGGCGGGTTGGCAATAGCAGTTTATTTTATTTTTTTATTTTTTTTTAATTTATTAAGGTTTACCAATGTTTGATTACACTGTATTTAACAAAATGGCTTAAGAACTAATTTACGTAGCTAAGTGTAACAATCGTTTAAGGTAAACACCACATGCATCGAGAAAGATTATAAATACGAATAAAAAAGTATAAATTACCTAATAATGAAAAAAGGACGTGGTAAGAACTGTTATTATTTATTTGTTGGTTTCAGACCAGGCTAAAGCTAGAACTTCCTTAATTTTGGCAAGTGAGTCGGCGTGAATGTCAACTTTGTCACTATGTCCATTGACCAATTTGCACAACCTTGGAATTGGGGAGTTTGCACCTAAGACAGATTTTCTAAAAGGAGGGCAAAGTGGAGTAATAGGGGCGCGAGGAATCCTCAATGGAACACGAAATTTAAATTTTTGGAGCAAGAGGGGACAGTTAATTTTTTGATTAAAAATTTTTACAAGAAATGACAGGTCAAGCAAATTTCACCGTTCAAATTTTTAGTTGTTATTTGGCGAACGCTGCTGCTCATCCTGGATTATTATTGTTGCATGAATAAGTCAACTAGTGCCATCTAGTGTCAGGAACGAGAGCGAGGGGAGCATTGAGAAAATGACATCACAAATCGCTCAACTGACAGCGCCTAGTCGAAACTCGAACGCTCGGTACCTTCCGCGTGTTTACTTGAACATTCTGGATATTTCTTTGCTAATTTAAATATATAGGCGCTGCAAGATGCGAGGGAGGCAGTGTTGATTTGGGCGAAACAAGCGAAGCTTCGGAGTGGAATTAAGTGAATTAGTGTGTTTAAATTATTAGTGTTTTAACTTTAATTGTGTAAAGTAAATTAAAGTGTTAATTTAGGTAATTTTATCGGCAATTTTTATTGTCACGAACCTCAAGCTCGTAACAATTGGTGTCAGAAGTGGGATAAAATCATGCCGATTTTACCTAAGGAGGAAACGGAGGGTGTCCGTACCCGAAGTCAACGCCAGCAGGAGACGGACCAACGAAGATTTGGTGGTGCAACGCCGCAGACGTCGGAGGGCCAGCCACCAGCTGCAGGCCCGTCGGTAGCTCCTACATCTGCAGCACCTGACTTAGGTGCTCTGATGGTGATGCTGCAGGAGCAGGCTCGCCGACAGGAGGAGCAGGCTCGCCGACAGGAGGAGCAGGCCCGTCAGTTGAAAGAGCAGCTGCAAAGCGGACAAGAGGAACAGGCCCGCCGGCAGGAGGAACAGGCCCGCCGGCAGGAGGAACAGGCCCGCCGGCAGGAGGAACAGGCCCGCTGGCAGGAGGAACAGGCCCGTCGTTTAGAAGAGCAACTCCAACGCGATAAGGAAGAGCAGATGCTCCTCATGAAGGACCTTCACGCTATCTTCGGAAAAGAGATACGGGAGGTGAAGGATAAGGTTGCTCAACATGACAACCGCCTGTCGGAGGCCGAAACCCGAATCGACCAAGTAAACAATCGGGTTGACAACGTAATGGCTGACGTGAAGAAAACGCTGGACGACCTCAAACTTGGGGATGGAACAACAGCTCCCGTAGTAGCTACAACACCTTCGCTACGTGGATTCAAAGTGCCGCCGTTCGACGGTACCTCTTCCTGGTCAGCCTACAAGATCCAGTTCGAGGCTGTTATGAAGGCGAACGGCTGGAATGAAAGTCAGGCCATGACTGCTCTCACACTAGGCCTGCGCGACCAGGCCTTAACAGTTCTGGAAGCTCTCGGTGAGGAAGTGACTTATGAGCAACTCATTGAGGCATTGGAGGCGAGGTATGGCGACGCTCACCTGGAACACGTCTTTCGTGCGCAGCTTAAAGATCGCGTGCAGCGCATCAACGAAAACCTGCAGCAGTGGGCTCTAGAGGTGGAGAAGCTGGTGCGAAAGGCATACCGGTCTGTACCTGCGCTCATTGGAGGGAACCTGGTGCAGACATTCATCGACGGCATCCGTGACCTGGAAGTCAGAGCTGCTGTGAGGCTCGGGCACCATGAGACGCTTAAGGACGCCTTGGCCCATGCACTGGAGGTAGAAGCCGTGCGGCAGGATCATCGTTCCCATCGCGTCAGGGAGGTTGCAGCAGCTACAGTTCGCGACCGCAACAAAGGATACAGCCCTAGGTGCTATGGCTGTGGGGAAAAGGGCCATCTTCGATCCAGCTGCCCTAAGCGAACCCTAGAAAGGGAAGGTGAACGATCCCAGGAGGGTAGTGCGGCCAACAGCACCGCCCAGCAGCAGCAGGGAAACGAGTAAAAGCCAGAACTGCGGGGCGGGTGCTGGCTGATGTTAAAAGAGCCCCAAGGATCTCGATCTCACAAACCCATGATGGGAACAGTCTAATCATCAAGGGCGAGGTCAACGGAATGCCGTGTAAACTGACCATAGACACTGGAGCCTCTCGTACGGTTGTTAGTTCCCAACTTATAAGTCAGTTCCTTGGGGACTCCGCATACAACCGAGAACGCATTAATTTGGTAACAGCCACCGGTCAGCGTATACCCGTCCGTGGAGAGAAGGAGATGGAGTTGAAGCTAGGCAACGTGATCTACCTGCATAATGTCATCGTGGCTGATATAATGGACGACTGCATCCTAGGCCTAGACTTTATGAGGAATAATTGTTGTGAGATCGACGTTAAGCAAGGTGTTTTGAAATGTGGACAGGAGGAACTTTTTATGGAAGGTGCGTTACCAGGGAACGTGTACAGCATCAAGAAGATTGTTCTTCCGCCGAGATCGGAAACGATTGTTCCGGTTAGTCTTCCACGAAACGCTGGGCAAGCTCACCGTTGTGTACTTGTGGAAAGGGTAAACAATGACCTTCCATGGAAAGTAGCTCGAACCTTGGTCAGGACCACTGACATCTCAGGAGTACGTGTGCTGAACCTTTGCGACCGGGAACAGGTTATAGAAAAAGGTACACTGGTTGGTACTTGTGAGGAAGTGGATTGGTTACGTCAGTGCCAATATATATCGAGTGGGACCCCCAGCAAGGATTCAGAAACGAGAGTGACCACACTTTTGGAAGACTGTCGCAGTGTTCTGTCCCCGAACGAATTGGTGAAGGCGAAGAAGTTGTTACTCGAGTACGCCGATGTATTCTCATCAAACGATGCTGACATAGGAAAGACTGGTTTAGTTCAACACAAAATAAACACAGGCGAAGAGTTGCCTATCCGTCAGCGGCCAAGACGATTGCCGGTAGCACGTGAAAAGGAAGTGGAAACCATGATGGAGGGAATGGTGAGGGATGGTGTTATTGAACCTTCATCTAGTCCATGGTGTTCACCCGTGGTACTGGTAAAGAAGAAGGATGGCAGCATGCGGTTCTGTGTTGATTACCGCCATCTGAACGACGTTACAAAGAAGGACAGCTATCCCTTGCCAAGAATTGATGACACGCTGGACATGCTTACAGGAGTAAAATGGTTTAGCACGCTGGATCTAAAAAAGTGGCTACTGGCAAGTTGAAATTGACCCTAAGGACAAGGAGAAAACTGCGTTCTCGACGGGAAAGGGTCTGTGGCAATTCAAAGTAATGCCGTTTGGGTTGTGCAATGCTCCAGCAACGTTTGAAAGGCTGATGGAACTTGTACTTACCGGGCTAATTGGCGATGCCTGTCTGGTCTACTTGGATGACGTCATCATCGTGGGCCGTACGTTTGAGGAACACCTTCAAAACCTGGAACGCGTGCTCATGAAGATTAAGAGTGCCAACCTTAAGTTGAGTCCGAAGAAATGTTCACTATTCAAACGGCAAGTCAACTTTTTGGGGTATGTAGTGTCGGAAGAAGGTATCCGCACGGATCCAGAGAAAATCGCAGCTGTAAAGGATTGGCCGGTTCCAAAAGACAAGACGCAGGTTAGAGCATTTTTGGGTTTGTGCTCCTATTACCGACGTTTTGTGAAGAACTTTGCAGATATAGCCAAACCTCTGCATAAGCTAACCGAGGAGAAGCGACATTTCTGCTGGGATGAAAGTTTTAAAATCGCATTCCAGGAGCTCAAGGACCGTCTGTGCAAAACACCTATTTTGGGATACCCTGATGCAAGCAAAGAATTTATAGTTGACACAGACGCAAGTGATATAGGACTTGGCGGTGTGTTGTCTCAACGTAATGGTGACCAAGAGGTCGTGATAGCGTACTTCAGCAAGTCGTTGTCAAAACCGGAAAGGAACTACTGTGTCACAAGACGCGAATTGCTAGCTGTGGTAAAGTCGTTGCAACATTTTAGCAAATATCTTCTGGGACGAAAATTTCACTTACGAACTGACCATGCTGCACTAAAATGGCTATTGCAGTTTAAAAACCCAGAAGGACAAGTTGCGAGGTGGATTGAACTACTGCAGGAATACGACTTTGAGATCGAACATCGCAGCGGGAAATCTCATGGCAACGCAGATGCATTGTCAAGAAGACCTTGTCCTGAAGATTGCAAACATTGTACTAGGCAAGAGAGTAAGGAAGTGGTATCCGTGAGGATGCTCAGGGCAGACCACCTCAGCAACGAGTGGAAGGACAGCTTACTACATGCACAGCAGGAAGATCCGGACATCAAGCCGATTCTGGAATGGATAAAGGCCAGTGCTCCCAAGCCCAAGTGGAGTGACGTCTCAGCGATGAGTTCGACCACTAAAAGCTATTGGGCCCAGTGGGACAGCTTGCTGCTTCAGGATGGAGTTCTGTGTCGTAAATGGGAAAACGTTCGGGGAGACAGCTGTCATTTGCAAATGGTTGTCCCTAAAGTTAAAGTACCGGATGTTCTACAGCTGTACCATAATGATTGTTCAGGAGGCCATCTGGGAGTTAAACGAACTCTACTGAAGATCCGAGAACGGTTTTACTGGGTCCACTGTCGAAACGATGTCGAGGACTGGTGTCGCAAATGTACAAGTTGTGCGGCTGTAAAGGGACCTCAGACTCGTAGTAGAGGTGCATTGAAGTTGTACAATGTTGGTGCACCATGGGAGAGAATAGCCATTGACGTGGCGGGGCCGTTTCCGGAGAGTGAAAGCGGTAACAAGTATTTCATGGTTGTGATGGATTACTTCACTAAGTGGCCAGAAGTCTTCGCCATTCCAAATCAAGAAGCTTCAACAGTTGCAGATAAACTAGTTCATGAAGTCTTCTGTCGTTTTGGAGTACCTTTAGAGATTCACAGCGATCAAGGAAGGAATTTTGAGTCTCAAATATTCCAGGAAACTTGCCGAGTTATGGGTACTCATAAAACAAGAACGACTTCTTATCACCCGCAATCTGATGGAATGGTGGAACGATTTAATCAGACATTGGAGACGTACCTAGCAAAAGTTGTAGACAATCGGCAACGAGATTGGGACAAGCACATACAACCGTTTTTGTTGTCATATCGAAGTTCTGTTCACGAAAGTACAGCAGTGACACCAGCTTTCGCAAACTTTGGAAGAGAATTACGGCTGCCTGCAGACCTGATCACCGGGATACCACCCGATGCTCCACGCAGTATAACCGATTATGCAAATGACTTGCGGAAAAAAATGAATGACGTTTATGAGCACGTCAGACAATCGGGCCAGCAAATGTCTGAAAAGATGAAAACCCGGTATGACCGCAAAATGAACAACAAAGGGTTCGACGAAGGTTCACTTGTGTGGTTGCACAATCCAGTCCGCAGCAAAGGGAAATCTCCTAAGCTTCAAGCTAAATGGGACGGCCCGTACCGGATTGTAACCAGGATCAACGATGTGACCTACCGGATACAGAAAGGCGCAAGAGGGACTCCTAAGATCGTCCATGTGGATCGCTTGGCGCGTTATTATGGGACCGATAATGCTCGGGACGAGCATGTCTTAGGAGGGGGCAGTGTTGCATGAATAAGTCAACTAGCGCCATCTAGTGTCAGGAACGGGAGCGAGGGGAGCATTGAGAAAATGACATCACAAATCGCTCAACTGACAGCGCCTAGTCGAAACTCGAACGCTCGGTACCTTCCGCGTGTTTAATTGAACATTCTGGATATTTCTTTGCTAATTTAAATATATAGGCGCTGCAAGATGCGAGGGAGGCAGTGTTGATTTGGGCGAAACAAGCGAAGCTTCGGAGTGGAATTAAGTGAATTAGTGTGTTTAAATTATTAGTGTTTTAACTTTAATTGTGTAAAGTAAATTAAAGTGTTAATTTAGGTAATTTTATCGGCAATTTTTATTGTCACGAACCTCAAGCTCGTAACATTATGCTCTCTGTCGCCTCTTACGAAACCCACGGGACGATATGAGTTCGTGGATATTCTTAAACCGCCACTACACGATCAAGCAGTTTTAATTATTTAAATATTTAATTTGTGTGGTTCTACCACGTATAGAGTTGGGTGTAAACAAATATGTACAATGTAATGTACAGTCGTGAGAATATAGAAACATTATAGTTTTGTGAGATTGAGTGCGCGGCTACCTCCTGTTCGGTGCGTTTACGCATGACGTCGATGCGATCGCTCGTGCATGCGACCACGTGCAAGAGGCGCTCGTCCAAACGTTCGCGCGCCGCACGTTCATCTCGGCTCTTCTGTGCCTCGCATCTCCGCTGCTGCATATCCGCGAACATGCGCGACTTCTCCGTCTCCCTCTACACAGATTTATTATATAATAAATGAAACTATTTTTTTAGATTTTATCGGATAATTTTTTTTAATTCCGACGTTCGGGTTCATCAAAATTTATAATTAAAAGTTGAAGGTCATCCGGGTTAACTTTGACATGGGGACTTTGAACACCTCAGATCCCCGTGACCATGGATGCACCTGAAACGTGCGAAACGTCGGGATTAAAAAATTAAAGGCGATAAAATCCTGAAAAGTAGTTTCATATAAAGGTTGACTAACGCTAGACCGAGCCGGTCACGTGCCTTTAATTACAAAGACGGGCCTCGACAAGGCTTCGACCGAGCAATTACCGCTGCGCCGTGATGCAGTATACTCGTCCGAGCAAAAATATTGTTGTAACTAGACTACAATCATGTTGAGCTTTGATGATCTGGAATTAGCGGCTATTGCGATCGCTCTGGACGATGAACAATCTGATAAATCTTCAACTACGAGCCGGGACCGAGCTGTTGCCGAGCGTTGTCCGTTGCTCAGCCGTCACTCGGTTGCCGCTCGGTATAGCGTGAGTGTGGCCATACATACATACAATATATGTAATATTAGTTGACTATGCTACGGCCGAATCTCGACTGGAACACTACGCGATCTAGCGTGAATCAACTTTAACGTGTAGAATTCGCGTAAATATAACATTCATTACAATTATCAAAGTCCACTGCTGAACATAGTCCATCCCCAAGGAATGCCACAAAGCACGGTACTGAGTTACCTGCATCCATCGACTTCCTGCATAGCTTACCAGGTCGTCACTCCATCTAGTGGGGGGGGGGGTCCCCCTACACTACGCCTGCCGGTACGAGGCTGCCACTCGAGAACCTTTTTTCCCCATCGGTTGTCGGTTCTTCGACCTGCATTGCCACTTCAGCTTACTAATTCGTTGGACTTTGTCGGTCACTCTGGTTCTACTGCGGATATCCTAATTTCTAAGTTTATCACGCAGAGAAACCCCAAGCATAGCCCTCTCCATAGCTCGCTGAGCGACCTTGCGCGTACTCATACGGCCAGCAGTGAAGGACCACGTCTCAAATCCATAAGTCATCACTGGCAACTCGCACTGTATAATCTAGTTTTAAGAAGAAGATTTGTCGTAATTTCCGAACGCTGTCCAGCCGAGTTGAATCTGTCGATTGACTCCGACGGGGTAAGTCCGACCGAGGTCGAAGTTGGACTTGATTTGTCCCAGGTAAACGTACTCGTCAACAACTTCGAACTTAGTGGTCCCAACAACTACCGACATAGGTGAGACATGGACATTACACTAGATCTTTGTTTTGTCCATGTTCATCTTAAGACCTATCCGTTGGACACTATTGATGTCATTGAGCATAGGGTTAAGGTCCTACAGCGATTCTGCCATAAAGACTATATCGTAGGCAAATCGAAGGTGAGTGATGTACTTGCCATTGATGTTAATACCGTATCCTTTCCACTTTAGTAGCTCACAAAAATCTTCTAATGCAGCGGTGAAGAGTTTCGGAGATATAACGTCACGCTTTCTGCAGTTGGATAGGTTTAGAACTCTGGTTCTGTACTCGAATAGTCATCGTAGCCCTACTCAGCACTTCGATATAACGATAGTCAACTTGGCACCGCTGAAGGGACTGTCCCAAAAGCACCGCCCATATTTCGACGGAATCACAGGCTTTTTCATAGTCCATATACGCAAGGCAAAGTGGTAGATTGTAGTCTTCGGTCATCTGTACAATCTGCCGCAGGGTATGTATGTGGTCTATGGTACTGAAACTTTTTCGGAAACTGGCTTGTTCGGGAGGCTGTAAGTCGTCGAGTCTGCGTGCGAGACGATTCGTAATGACTCTCTAAAACAGGCTCAGAAGGGAAATCGGTCTGTAGCACTTCAAGAGAGCATTGTCGCCTTACATTAAGAACATGACCACACCACGCCTCCAGAGAAGTGCCACCATGAGGGACGGAATTAAAGAGCTTCTGAAGGACTTTAAGTACCGGTTTTCCACCCGCTTTCAGAAGTCCCGCTGTAATTCCATCCTCGCCTGGGGCTTTGACATTTTTAAGGTGCTGGAGAGTCATTCTAATCTCACTCGTACTGACGTCCGGGATATCATCGGAATAGTGTCGGATAAGATTTGCTCTTGGATTGTTACAGTTGCTTGTGGCTCCAACGATGATGTGTACAGTTGCCCATAGAACCTCTCAATTTCACTCAAAATCTCAGGTGTCCTGGAAACGATGTTGCTACGCTCAGTCTTCAGATTTGACAGTTGGCTCTTTTTGGCAGACAGAACTCTGGCAAAGATTTTAGAGCCCTGATTCGTATTGAAGAATCGATCGAGCAGAGCAGTATTAAAGTTGCGTAAAACCCGCCTCATGCATTTGGAGATTTGTCTGTTCAGTTGTCTGTATGCTTTCAAATATATTGAAGACTGCAGCTTCATTTCTCGTCTAACAGCTATGAGATTAAGAGTGTGATCGGAGAGATTTTGTGTACTTCTACGGCGAGTCTTGCAAAACTTAGCTACAATCGCATGGACAGTTTCCATGAGCTTATCGTTCATATCGTCGACTGCATTGCAATCTTCTAGATGCTGAAAACGGTTTTGTAACTTGAGCTGAAAGGTTTCGGGACTCTGAATTAGAGCACGAAGGGGACGGAGCGTTGACTCTATTAAACGAGACATCTCCAATTTAACGTTTAGGTTCAGTGTGCCTCTAACCATTCGGTGATCGCTGCCAGTTTTCACCCTTGCGATCACTGATACATCATAGAACAGTTGCCGTCTAGTCGTCATAATGAAGTCAATCTTATTTATTGTCGAACCATCGGGGCTCGACCAGGTCCACTTTCTGTGGGGCCGCTTCTGGAAGAAAGAGTTCATCTGTCTCACTTTCTCCATGAATTTGGCCAATTGTTGGCCCCTTGGGTTGATCCGTTGCCCTATCCCGAATTTCCTTACCTTCAGCTTACCTTTCTTTCTTGTGCCTAGTTTTGCGTTGAATTAACACCGTATAATATAGTGGATTTTGGAGGAATGCATGGCTCTAGAAATATCCTCATACATTTCCTCTTCCCACTCATCGGGATGTGGCGAGGTTGGTGCTTAGACCTGTATAACCTTCAGCGATTTGTGTTCACCGTTTGGTGATTTTGAGTATAAGGTACTCAATCCTCGTCGACACACATACAATATTTATAAATTTGTTAACGAGAGACTTGTGGACGATAAAGCCGACACCTCCTTGGACAGATGGTCGCCCTTCCGTTGATAGAACAAGTTGCCGGATTCGAGAATCACCGTGTCCTCCCCCTCTCTTTGGACCTCCGATAATTCCATAATATTGCAACGCAGTTGTCTATCCCTTTTTCCAGCTCCAGGATCTTTTTGTCAGTTCTCAGGTTGCGTGCGTTGTGTTGCCAGGTCGAGTCGTTTTAGGTGGCAACCGAACCTCCACCGGTGATTCTTAGGACTCCTGCCCCGTAGTTACCATGGTTGCCACCGTAGCCAAGAATAGCGAGGCTGCTGGGGACTGGGGGCCGTTCCTTTGTGTTGTTGCTCATGGAGGGTATATTGCCATAGTTGCCACACTTGCCGAGCGGTTTGGCAACCGCAGTTCCATTGTTGTGCAATAGCTGTCATCAGGAAGATGCTGCTGCCCATCTCCTGCCTGTCTCCCTCTGTCGCCTCCTACGACACCCACGGGAAGATATGGGGTAGTGGATATTCTTAACCGCCACTACACGGCTGCCTTCATAATCTTTGTATTATAGTCTTGGCGAGCGAGTTAGCGAACGCAGTTTTATTTTTAATAATGGTGACAAACGAGCACACAGTCCACCTGGTAGGTGAATAATGTGGTCTTTATACATCTATCTATCCTCGATTAAGTATCAAAAGGCAGTTGAGCTGTCACTCTTGAGAACTCACTATACGAAATACAGCAGCATATAGCTGCTATTATAAGCTGGTATTCTGTGAGAGCGTGATTCTGCGGTCGAGTCGAACTTTTGGAGGTACTACCATAATATAGGTTGCAGCACGGCTCTACCACGTAATGAAAAGTTTATTTTAATTCTCTGGTTGTTATTAGGAAGATGTTGCTGCTAATCTACTGGTTTGTTTTCCTCTGTCGCTTTTTACAATACCCACGGGACGATATGGATTGAATATTGTTACACCGCCACTATACGGTAATAACCACAGATTAAGTATGAACAAAACCGCATAGAAAACACCACGTGGAGATGCCATACTCCCCATACGGTAAGCGAATTAGTGAACGCAGAACCCACACCCCCCGCACTGGTATTGTTTTTTTTATATAAAATAACGGTGACAAACGAGCACACAGTCCACCTGATGGTAAGTGGATGCTGTCGCCCACAGACATCTACATTTATCTTAGATTAAGAATCAAAATGCAGATGCGTTGTTACCCCTGAGGACTAAAGATGGAATGCCTCGTTTCCAGTAAAAGATCTTATTAAAATAAAATAAAAATAAAGAAGGGTATCCGGATCTCAAATTCTATACAAGAATAAGACACAAATTAATACAAAAAAAACTTTTGAAAATCGTGAGTCTCACCATTTCCTGTTCGAACTTCTTGATAGTCGTCATTTCCTCATCAGCTTTAATATTGTCCATCTTCTGCTGGGTTAGCTCCGTTTCATACTCGCGCCTGTTCCGTTCCTCGACCTCTCGGGCTCTAAGATATATTATTTAGTCTTTTCATATTTGTGCTAAAGTTTTCTTAGTTTGAGTTAAGCAAAAGATTTAAATCTGTTGATTTCCTTAATGAGTAAAACTAAACTGTTGCATTTTTTAAAAATCAAACACGATATAATCCGTTTAAAACTGAAATTACAATGTCATCGAACCTGGGTTGCTCGAGTACTATGAAAAATTTACAGCGAGCGCTATGACCCTAAGCTACCACAGCTCATTTGTTCATTACATTATGAAGAATCCACCGCTGAAGATAGGCCTCCCCCATAGATTGCCTAATCGAGAGGATATTTGCCACAGTTGTTCATTCTACATTTTCTAATCTTACCAATATTACACCTTAGTACTTTATGCGTATAACAGGTTACACATTAAATTATTTTTTTTTTATTTTTTCAATTATAAATAAGGAAATTTACTCACACTAAATTTGGAGTGGTATAATTGAAATAATTTATTTAGTAAACGTTAACGTTTACTAAATAAATTATTTCAATTATACGTTACGTAACGTTTCGATAAAATACTGTGTATTTAAAGAGCAAAGAGAGTTATAAATGCCACTGTTTAAAGGGCTAAGTTTTTAAACTATGGCATTTGTAACTCTGTGGGTTTTGAAAACTGCACAAGAGACAAGAGAGAGGTAAGTATTTCAAAACAAAAGTTGAACCAGTCCTAGAAACCTAGGATTTTTTCCCAATATACCAAAACTGTGAATATGAAAATATAAATTTAAAATTATTCGAAGATTTGCTAAATGAAATAATTTATTTAATAAATGTTAATTACCAAAATTAAATTTCGCTGTTTATTTTGATTTTAGATATATAGCCGAAGGCTGCGGTACGAAATTAAACCTTTCGCCGTTCCGTGCACCTTATATAGGTCATTGCTATTGCTTGCTGTAAAATGCGTCTCGGTATGCAATTGTTCGGTAAAATACAGTAATACTACTGTTTAAAGAGCTAAAGTCTTTAAACTGTGGTAATACGTTTTAAAGACGGCACTAGAGACTATTATAGTATTATACTCGATGATTTTTTTACCGTCTGGAAAAAAATCTGGGTGTAACAGGTGAACAGAATAGAATAGAAGGTTATGGCACTGATATTCTCTAATTTTATTGCTTTTACATTAACATAATATTATGAAATTGATGTATCAATAAATACTACTAATTTGAAATAAGCTTTCGGTAATGAAAAATATAAACATAATTAGTCTCTATCTAACGAATTTCTAATTTATTAGCCGCGATACGCACGGAGCAGCTGTAAATCCTGCGCGAGCGCATCTAATCGTTGTGGCGCTATCAAGCGCATCTTTGCAAACGAAGAAGCCAGCCGCGTGCACTATAATTCTATTTGCTTTCTATACTCGTTATCTGAAATAGTGCTAGGTAGTGATAAGGCGCGTGCCTTTAATTGTATTCCCTGGCTCTCGTAATCGGATTTGGTATCTTATATCGGAGCATTATGGTATTTCGCGGGTTCGAAATTTCCTGCTTGTGGTATGTGATGGCGCTCGGTGTTGTATCTTTCGGATCGTTGGCTGGAGTTTAGACGTTTTTAAAACTTTAAACTCTATGTGTATTCTTTTTTATTACATTAAATTATCAAAATTTTAAGCGTTTTCTTATTTATTTGCAGTATTCAGTATTTTTTGCATTCAGTTGTTTTTTAAATGGTACCTCCTCACACTAGGTTCTTCTTTTGTATCTTGAGAATAGTTTACAAACATATACAATAGCACAACATCCAGATCGTCAGAGTTATTTGTAGACCGTACAAATATTTGTTCCATGCGGGATTCGAATCCGCGGCCCTCAGTGCTGCAACTAAAGTTACCACTGCGCCACGGAGCCCTCAATGCCGTCCTTACTCAGTAATGTATATAATAAAATATGTAGTAATTCATTCATTTATTCATTAAATGCTATCAAAAGTCAACACTGAATAATATAAACTAAATAAATAAATCAATAAAAGACTATCGAAGTTAAAATAATACGCACACAATTAATAGTATTTATTGGTAGATCAATTTCATAATATTATATTAATGTAAAAGCAAAAAAAAAATGTAAAATATCAATGTCATAGGTTTCTATTCCGTTCACCTGTTACACCCACGCCACGGAGCAAAGCCTATTTTTTCCAGGCGGTAAAAAAAATCACCCAGTATATCATAAGTAAGTAAGTACCTCAAAACTAAATTTGAACCTGTCCTAGAAACCTAGGAAATTTTTCAGAATTTCTTTTTAAAGGAATTGTTACAATTGTGCTAAGACTCGTAGAACGACAGTAAAGTAGTTCTGTCCGTTGTAGTAATTGGAGTTTAAACAATGAAAATCATGTTGCTGAGATGCTGCCCTGTGTTGCAATGAGATGGGTAGGGTGGCTGTTGGTTTGCATACTTTGGTGTTATCGTGTAATTACGTCTCGCGTGTTATACTACTGTGTAATTGTGAGGGGGACATATTATTACGGTGTGGTCGAATAATGATTGCTCTATACTGAATGTATAGTGCATTACACTGATTAATTGCGTAAGCAGGAGAGCAAGTTGAACATCCGCTCTCATACTAAGTATTACTATTTTTAACATATAATCTTCTGATGTATTTTCGACAAATATTATAAAATTGAATTTACGCGTTGCCAGAGGTTAGCAAAATTCATCTTGCTCCGCCCCTGCGAAGAAAAAAGCTTTCTCTTGACTTATTAATTAATCTTGCAATAACACTAACTGGTCTATAATTTCCTTCTGGTGCTGCTTGTTGGCTTCAAAACGGCGCTGTTTCCGAATCTCCAATAGTTCATTCCATTCCTTGGCTTTGCGGATGATGTCTTCGTCCTCTTGCTTCTTCCGCTCAGCCGCCTGACCACGAAGTTTCTGGAGGAACTTGATTTGTTCCTCGCGCTCTTTCTGGGTCTCACTTTCGATTACTGCACTGGAATGTAATATGTTTCGTTAGATTTTATCAGTGGCGTGGCATCGACTACTGCCCCCGGGATCCGCTAAGGCCAAATAAGTTATAGCATGGAGCTGACTCTTCCTTTCCTCCCTTTTTCCTCCAATTCTACTCCCTTAATTCTGCTCACGGGCTCAAAACACGCACCGTGTTGTGAAAAAAAAACAAAGGAAAATCAAAGGGGAAAAACAACACATTAGAAAATGGCAGTTGCAGACTGTAACGTATAATGATAGAAAACAGAAGAATACGTTTGTATGTAATACATATATACATCACTATACGTACTCACGCCTATAGTCCCCAAGGGAGTAGGCAGAGTCTAAAGAACAGCCAACCTCTTGGACCACGTTTAGTCTAAAATACGGTTATAGATGGAAAGTTCTGCAAGAAGTGATAGGTCTACAATCTACATGATCACGAAAACATATTATGCACCATTTACGGTATGCTAGGCAATAGCAAGTAACACAGTAGATACATTCCCCTCCCCCCCGAACAGATTGGTCCATCTTGTCGTAGCGGAGTGGGAGGGGGGGGGGAGCTTATTAGCCGTAGCTTGGTCACTCGCGGTGAACAAAGAGGAATCCACTTGGCTGGCCCGTGGTGTAGGGCCGGCCTGAGGTGGCCACTCCGAGAGGGCTTGGCGAGCCCACTTCAGATGTGTGTTGTTGGGCTGCGGCGAGAGGATTGTTCTCTCCCCCTACCGCTGCAGCCGAGGTGGAGTCGCGTGGAAAGAGAAGTGTTGGTATGTCAATGCGCCACTCACCTTATCCTCCGCGACTCTGACGAGGCCGCACCGTTGATGCCGTGGAGGTAGGGCCGCGGGGAGGAGTGTCGGTATTGTGAGGCATCGCTCTCCCAACCCTCCGCGGCCGAAATTTTGTTGGCGGCAGAGCCAGAGACCAGATTCGCCGCTGGGGCCGGGAAAACGGGTGCTACCAAGCGCTGGATTTTCCTGGCCCCATGGCTTCCGCTTATCTCTAGGGGCCAGTTACGTAGGCGGAGTTGGAGGCCGTGGAGGAAGGCGTGCCTTGTGTTCCTGGTGCGCCTTGCCCGAGAAGGAAAATAGGGAGGAGAAATCCTCCTCCGAGGAGGGCCTGCCATGAGGCGGTCAGCACTGGTGGGGCCGCGGATGCGAAAGCGTTCCAGTGGCACTGCCAATATGCGGCGAAGGTGAAACACCATGGGGTTTTTTTCGGTGCTAGTTCGACACTGGCACGTAGGCGTTTCCCCGTCAGAATAAGGTACATTCCGTTTAAGTTATAATTCCAATATTAACATGGGATCTATAAGTCTCAAGCCAACATTAGTAAATTATTTATTTAGATTTAATATAAATTCCAAATAATAAGGAAACTCACCTCAAAAACATTTTGGAAGCGTCTTTGTTTTGGAAGATAATATCCCTGGCGTCCTGCAGAAGCCTCTGCTGCTCCCGTTTCTTGCGTTTCACGTACTTCTTGTAAAAGTTGGTGTTCGCCTCTTCGGCCGCCTCAATGCGCGCGCGCCTCAGTTCCTCGTTACGCTTGTTTACGTTCTACAATTTAAACAGACGAAACATTTGAACGATACTTTTTTAAATCCCGTCTCTTTGGAGTGTAGCATAAAAATAGTATGTAAACACAATTTCGTCAGTACAGACCGTATTTTTCTTTATTTTCTATGATTCTACGTACATATTGAAACAAAGAATGCTTAGTTTGGATACGTCAAAAGAATGGATGAAGAAAGAGTGACAAAGCAAATTTATGCTGCGGAAGTGAGATGTTAAGTTGACCACATTGGTGACATTTATTTATTTATTTATTTGCTTTTTAAGGGAAACATACAGTACAATAAAAACACATTATAAAACATATAAAAGTTATCTAATACATATTAAAAGCTTGCAACCACAATATGTTTAAAGATTTAAAAAAATAAATAACTAAATGGTATTTATAATTAAACATTAAGTACTGAGAAGTTAAAAGTAATACAATACACACAACCTATAGTGAAGCTACCAATTATAAATTAAGTTTTACAATATTTTTATAACTATTATATTTAAGGTGAAAAATATCTAGTTCACAATATTTTAAGTTAAAATTTTTACATGTACGAGATACAAAATTATTTGAAGCATACTACGTTTTTACTTTACGTAATGCAAAATGAGGTTTATTTCGTGCACCTAACCGGTGACACGCAGAATTCACTTTGCTTAAAAGTAGGGGAGAGTCGATGATATTATGTAGCAATTTGTACAACATTTGATCTCTTATATCACGGCATTTTCGAGAGTATTACTGTCTAAGCTATCATTAATGGAGTCTACAGACATATTGAAGATTAGCTGTTTCCCGAGACTTCGCCCGCGTGTTACTTAGGGTTTTCATTTTTTGCGTGGAACCCTAATTCTCTTTCAAAAGTAAAAGTAGCCTAAGTTAGTTCTTATAACATCAGCTATCTGCCAGTGAAAGTCCTTTCAAAATCGGTTCAGCCCTCTCGGAGATTAGCCAGAACAAACAGACAGACAAAAATTTTAAAAGCTGTGTTTTTGTTATAATTAACTTATATAATTTCATATGCATTCAGTGAAAAGCTGTTTTGACATTACAAACAGACACTTCAATTTTATGTATTTGTATAGATGTGCCAAATTAAAAGTACCCTTAAAAAGAGTCACAGAACGTGCCAAAGAGACGAACAGTAAATGGAGAGTTTTGTGTGTATATGTATACATACATATATTAAAACATAATGATATTGTATTTAAAAAAGTAACATAAAAATCCCAAATACATTGTTAGTTTTAATACTTAATCTTACATTGAATAAAAGTAATTTTCCGGACTGTATCGCATTTAACTTTAACTTTTTTAAACCGTCTCACGTTTCGAGCGCTAAACAGTACCCATAATCACATGAGGGGCGTCACACGAGATAGATGATCTTTAAGTTTAAAGTCGTTTTGAGCACGTTTACCTCCAAGGAGTTGGGCCAGGTCTTGGTCATGGCACGACTGGTCTCATGCAGGTAGCGAATGTACTCTTTCCTCCGTAACGCCTCCGAGTCATCGCGACCGGTGTCCGTCCACCCTACGATGCGGTGCCATTCATCTTTGCTCATTACTACAGGCATGGTGTCGTCTGAAACAGAAATTTTTTTAATAGAATAAGGGTGACAAATAAGCACATAAATCTACCCGATGGTACCTAAGTGATTGCTGTGGACCATAGACATCTACATCTATTCTCAAATAAGAATTAAATGCAGATACGTTGTCACCCCTGAGGACTTGGATATATAAATCCTATTTTAGTTCAAAAAGGGTGTCCGGTTCTCTACACTCAACATACTAAACTAAGCAGCATTCATTTTTACGCTGGTATTCTGTGAGAGCGTGGTCTCCTGCCGGACCCATATCGTGCTACAATCATGATATATAGCTACAGTATGGCTCAACTCTCAACTGAATGAATAGCTCGTCTAAAGCACTTCTAAAGATCTCTACCGACTACAACGTCCCATACCATAACCGTACCGTTACCGACCAACACCGAACTAGTAAAAAATCAAGCGATAATACTTTTTCAACATAAAAGCTTGTCTCTTAGGAAACATATTGTGAAGATATTGATTGTTGCCACGCTTGGCAGGCCAGTTGGCAACAGATTTCCATTAATTTTGCTACTGCTTACTGCCCATTCCCTGTTTCATATGTCGCCTCTTACGTCATGGACCTAAGTAGTTATACTATCATTATGTATTACGACATCCACCTAAGATATCTAAGTAGTCATACTATCATTATGTAGTACGACATCCAGTTACCTAAGTAGTATCATAATGTGTTCATATATATCTTAATAGTATGGTATTAACGATATAACTATATAAATAAAACTTCTTTTTCATTGCCCTAGTTTTCATTGTATTGATTTTAGTTCCCCATAAACACGCAAACTGAATATGGAACTGTTATTTACTCACTTTTAAGTTCCTCTGTTATTGTAGATAATTGTAACGTTTTAAGTAGTATGTATTGTTCTTGTCACTTTTTATCTGAATTTTAAACAAGCTGCGACATGTTGTTACATTATATTTAAATATTGACAAGCGCAGACAAGTGGATTATTGACGATTTTATGACATCTCCTCTTTTTTTCTTCACATTACAACAGCCAGATTGCTATTTCAATCACCAAAGTCATATATAGTATTAAACTAATAAGGAAATATAATAATTTTTAATTCTTTTGTTTAAATTAACCTAAGAAATAAATAAAATATTGAAATAAATGTCCAATGCTTTTGTTTGCGCAGATGTATTAATAAAATAAACATATTTTTGTTGCTATGGATATTTGAGTCGGCACTTGGTTGTGCTTGGTTGGCGCCGAAACGTAAATGTAAAGCGAGAAGGACAGAAAAAAATATCTTTATTTGAAATTACAAAATAAATATACTTACTTGTATTTTACGTGATAGAGCCACACTATCTATTATTATTATGCTATGTTATATATGTTATTATTATGAATGAACACGCTCTCACAGAATTTACCAGCGTAAAATAGCAGCTTAGTGCTGTTGTGTTTTAAACGGCGAATGTAGAGAATCGGAGACCCTTTTTAATAGAAACGCGTTGTCACTCTTGAACTTTTACTTTTTTCCTAATATTGGATACACTAATACAACACGTTCTATAAAATAATAAAGTGAATAGAATATTACTTATAATTTATTTTTTTACATTTTAGATTACCTGACGAGATGAGATGGATTAATTGAAGAAAAATGGTTAAAAGTAATTAAGATTCAACGACGTGAAGATGATTGGATGCCTACTAAGTTAAGTACTTAGTACTTATTCTACAATGTGCTCGGAGCATTTCCTGACAAGTGATGTTTATATTACAAAAAACAATTTACGAAGACTGAACAAAAAACAACAGTTCCTGTAACATATTTCAGAATTTCAAAAAGTCATCATTTAAAACGTTTCTCAGAATAACGAGTACAATATTTAACAGGATTTCAGATTCACCGCCCATGTATAACGTAATAAATATCCAGATATATGATAATGTATTGGTAGAGATTTTATTTATTTAAATTCTTTTTGTTACAGAAAGAAGAACAAAATACCATATTATCATCACCATCAAGTTTGCAAGGGGTTAATATACCCGACCAGGATTAATTTTGATACCCTTTGCATTTTTGAAAACAAAAGTTGAAAAATTTTTCTGGAGAAATTCCTCCGGCTCCAGTTAAAAATAACAATTTAATCGCGAAAAACAAAACACTCAAAGAAAAGTGTAACAATTTGAAGCAAATTGTGTCAGAGCTCAAAAAGAAAAAATATTTTACAATAGATCAGAAAAAAAACTGAGTCTATAAGCTGAAGCCATTGCATTTGCTAATAGGTTGGTTCAAAAAAGCAAATTTAAAGGCTTTCGCCAAAAATTCACACCAGCATTACGAAAATTTGTCAGTCTGCTCTCTGACACAAAACTATGGTTTCACAAATTAATTATCCTCAAAAACATGGGCGGACTATGTTTCCCAAGTGAGGATGTATTTCAAATTTGCCAAAATTTAGAAGCGATTTAAAAAAAAAAAACATATTGAAGAACAGGGCCATATTAATTATACTTTCCGATCCCAAGGAGACTGCAATTACAAAGAACCGAATCTAATAAATAGTAATGACGTGTTTTCGTCTTTAAATTCTCATTCCCTATACCCCTAGAGCAATATCCGACTTATAATTACAAGCTACACCATATACGCGCTATTATAGAGAAGTTCACATAAATTTGAAAAGTGACTACAAAAGACAAAAAAAGAATAAGTTAGATTCGTTTGAGTTCACAGTTCACTGACTGAGTCGATATCATTTCATAATTTGATTGTTTACAATTAATATTTTTTTTTTGGCCTCTAAAAAGCTTGGCGCGCTCAGCAGAGCGGAACAGTATTTCATGCCGGCGTACCACCTGCAACTTTACAAGGCGCAGGTTTGGCCGCACATGGAATACTGTTCCCATCTCTGGGCTGGGGCTCCCCAGTACCAGCTCTTTCCACTTGACCGCATCCAGCGCATAGCGGCTCGAATCGTCGACGACCGAGTGCTTTCCGATCGGCTCGATCCACTGGCGCTGCGATGAGATGTTGCATCTCTTTGCATTTTCTTTCGCATATACCATTGGGAGTGCTCTGAGGAATTGTTCGGATAAATCCCAGCCGCCAAATTTCATGAACGCACTACGCGGCAAACGTCCCGATACTATCCACACCATCTGGATACTTGGCGGTCCACCACTGTACGTTTCAAAAAGAGTTTTCTTCCGCGTACAACCTCTCTGTGGAATAGTTTACCACCGGCGATTTTTCCGGACCGATAGGACCTGGGGACCTTCAAGAAAAGAGCTTACTCCTTTCTAAAGGGCCGGCAACGCACCTGCAATTCCCCTGGTGTTGCGGTTGATCATGGGCGGCGGTAGTCACTTAACATCAGGATGAGCCGCATGCTCGTTTGCCCCCTCTTCTATAAAAAAAATATTTTATAGATGCTTTGTTCGTAATTGGTTTTATTTTTCCAACACTAACCGCTAGTATAAACTTTGATGCTAGCTACTGTGTTCACTTTCCCTATTCTCCTCAGTATCGGTAAGTCAGGCACCCGCGCCAATGAGCGTTCAGCAGCAATCAATACGCAACTAATGATGTATATATTCATCTTTTTAACGATAGGTATGCCCTGTCATTTGTCTCTTTTTGTTAGCCCAACGTGCCATAATAAATAATTGTACGTAGATATAGTACTACCTCATCATCATCATCATCATTACAGCCCTTCACAAGTCCACTGCTGAACATAGGCCTCCCCCAAGTAATGCCACAAAGCACGGTCCTGAGCCACCTGCATCCATCGACTTCCTGCATGTCTTACCAGGTCGTCACTCCATCTAGTGGGGGGTCGCCCTACACTACGCCTACTGGTACGAGGCTGCCACTCGAGAACCTTTCTTCCCCATCGGTTATCGGTTCTTCGAGCTATATGGCCGGCCCATTGCCACTTCAGCTTACTAATCCGTTGGGCTATGTCGGTCACTCTGGTTTTACTGCGGATATCCTCATTTCTGAGTCTATCACGCAGAGAAACTCCAAGCATAGCCCTCTCCATAGCTCGCTGAGCGACCTTAAGCGTCCTCATACGGCCAGCAGTGAAGGACCACGTCTCAGATCCGTAGGTCATCACTGGCAACACGCACTGGTTGTACAATCTAGTTTTTAGAGATTGAGGTATACCTGACGAAAAGATATGTCGTAATTTCCCGAACGCTGCCCAGCCGAGTTGAATCCGTCGATTGACCTCTCGGTCGAAGTTGGACTTACCTAGTCGGACTATTTGTCCCAGGTAAACGTACTCGTCAACAACTTCGAGCATAGTGCTCCCAACAACTACCGGCATAGGTGTGACATGGACATTAAACATGATCTTTGTTTTGTCCATGTTCATCTTAAGACCTATCCGTTGGGAGGCACTATTGAGGTCATTGAGCATAATGCTTAGGTCCTCCAGCGATTCTGCCATAATGACTATATCGTCGGCAAATCGAAGGTGAGTGATGTACTCGCCATTGATGTTAATACCGTATCCTTTCCAGTCCAGTAGCTTGAAAACGTCTTCCAACGCAGCGGTGAAGAGTTTCGGGGATATAACATCACCCTGTCTTACACCTCTCTGCAGTTGGATAGGTTTCGAACTCTGGTTCTGTACTCGGATAGCCATCGTAGCCCTACTGTACAAACACTTCAGCACTTCGATGTACCGACAGTCAACTTGGCACCGCTGAAGGGACTGTAGCACCGCCCAAATTTCGACGGAATCAAAGGCTTTCTCATAGTCCACATAGGCCAGGCAAAGTGGCAGATTGTACTCTTCGGTCTTCTGTACAATCTGCCGCAGGGTATGTATGTGGTCTATAGTACTGAAGCCTTTTCGGAAACCGGCTTGTTCGGGAGGCTGGAAGTCGTCGAGTCTGCGTGCGAGACGATTCGTAATGACTCTCGAAAATAGCATGTAGACGCGGCTCAGAAGGGAAATCGGTCTGTAGTTCTTCAAGAGAGCGTTGTCGCCTTTCTTAAAGAACAAAATCACCGCGCTTCTGCTCCACGCCTCCGGAGTAGTGCCACCATGGAGGACGGAATTGAAGAGCTTCCGAAGGACTTCAAGTACCGGTTTTTCACCCGCTTTCAGAAGCTCCGCTGTAATTCCATCCTCGCCCGGGGCCTTGCTGTTTTTAAGGTGGTGGAGAGCCATTCTAATCTCGCTCAGACTGACGTCCGGGATATCATCGGAATAGTGTCGGATAAGACTTGCTCTTGGATCGTTACTCACACTTGCGTGTGGCTCCAACGATGATGTGTACAGCTGCCCATAGAACCTCTCAATCTCACTCAAAATCTCAGGTGTCCCGGAAACGATGTTGCCACACTCAGTCTTCAGCTTTGACAGTTGGCTCTTTCTGGCAGACAGATCTCTGGCAAAGACTTTGGAGCCCTGGTTCCGCTCGATCGCTTCTTTAATACGAGCAGAATTAAAGTTGCGTAAGTCTCGCCGCATGCATTTGGAGATCTGTCTGTTCAGTTGCCTGTATGCTGTCAAATCTGTTGACGATTGCAGCCTCATCTCCCGTCTAACAGCCATGAGATTAAGAGTGTGATCGGAGAGTTTTTGTGTTCTTCTGCGGCGGGTCTTGCAGAACTTAGCTCCGACCGCATGGACAGTTTCCACGAGCTTGTCGTTCATATCGTCCACTGCATTGCAATCTTCTAGGTACTGGAAGCGGTTACGTAACTCGAGCTGAAAGGTTTCGGGATTCTGGATTAGAGCACGAGGGGGACGGAGCGTTGACTTCAATAGACGAGACCTCTCCAACTTAACGTTTAGGTTCAGTGTGCCTCTAACCATTCGGTGATCGCTGCCAGTTTTCACCCTTGCGATCACTGAGACATCACTGAACAGTTGGCGTCTGGTCGTCATAATGAAGTCAATCTCATTTTTTGTCGAACCGTCGGGGCTCGACCAGGTCCACTTCCTGTGGGACCGCTTCTGGAAGAAAGAGTTCATCATGAAGAGTCCCTCTTTCTCCATAAAGTCGGCCAGCTGCTGGCCCCTTCGGTTCCCTTGCCCTACTCCAAATTTCCCTACCTTCAGCTCACCGCTTTCTCTTGTGCCTAGTTTTGCGTTGAAGTCTCCCATCAACACCGTGTAGTGGGTTTTAGAGGAATGTATGGCTCTGGAAATATCCTCATACATTTCCTCCACCTCCTCATCGGGATGTGCCGAGGTTGGTGCGTAAACCTGAATGACCTTCAGCGAATACCGTTTGGTGATTCTGAGTATCAGGTACGCGACCCTCGTCGACACACTCCCAATCTTTACAACGTTGTTGACGAGAGACTTATGGACGATAAATCCGACACCTCCTTGGGACAGATGGTCGCCCTCCCGGTGATAGAACAAGTTGCCGGACCCGAGGATTGCCGTGTCCTCCCCCTCTCTTCGGACCTCGGATAATCCAATAATATGCCAGCGCAACTTGTCTACCTTTTCTTCCAGCTCTAGTATCTTCTCGTCAGTCCTCAGGGTGCGTGCGTTATATGTTGCCAGGTCGAGTCGTCGTAGGTGGCAACCGAACCTCCACCGGAGATTCTTAGCACCCCCTGCCCCGCCGTTACCATGGTCGCCACCGTAGCCAGGAATAGCGGGGCCGCCGGGGACTGGGGGGCCGTCTGTTTGTGTATTTATTCATTGGGGGGTATTTGCCATAGTTGCCACGCTTGGCGAGCGGGTTGGCAACCGCAGTTTTTTATTACGTCACAGTTGTTATCAGAAAGATGCTGCTGCCCATCTCCTGCCTGTCTCCCTCTGTCGCCTTTTACGACACCCACGGGAAGATATGGGGTAGTGGATATTCTCAACCGCCACTACACGGCAAGTACTACCTGCGCCACTTTAAATTACAATAATGTAGTGTGTATCCTGTCTATCCTTTTTTATTACGTCTTTCCCGGCACTGAAGAGCCCTTAACTTAAGCTCGCGAGTATTATAAGTGTTCGGCAGCTTGTGAGTTTGAGCAAGGACAATAAAATAAAATAGAAGAAGTTCGAACGCGGGACCACATGATCATCAGTTGCGATTACGTCCACTGGACCAATGAGGTTATCAATCGTATTTGGGACTATATTTAACAAGAAATGGTGCGAATAATTGTTTTATGGCTGTTTTACTGTTGGTATACCTACTGTAAGAATGTGTGGTACGTATACCAGCGTCAATGCAGAATAATGGCAAAATGTTTAGTATGGTGAGTAATGAGCATCGGAGACTCTAGATGGGCGTTTTAACGATAAGCATAGCCAATAAAGGTTAATTACTTATTCACTTAGAGTACGTACACACGCACACACGCATACACAAACGCACACTAAACGCAAACACAAACGCACACACAAATGCACACATAAACGCACACACAAACGTGCACACACACACACACACGCACGCGCGCGCACACACACGCACGCACATGCATACACACACGTACACACACGCACACACACGCGCACACACGCACAACTACACGCACACACACGCACAAAAATACTCACACATACACGCGCAAGCATGGCACGCACGCACTGATGCACGCATACACGCACGCACACACACACGCACACCCATGCGCACGCACGCACGCACACTCACGCACGCCGAACGCACGCACACTCACGCACGCACGCACGCACGCACATGCACACACGCACGCATGCGCACAAACACGCAGGCTCTCGCACGCACGCACACGCACGCACACGTACGCACACGCACGCACACGCACACATACGCACGCACACGCACGCACACCTACGCATACGCACGCACACGCACGTACACGCACGCACACGCACGCATACTCACGCACACCCACGCACACTCACGCACACTCACGCACACTCACGCACACTCCTGCACACTCACGCACACTCACGCACAAGCACCCACACGCACGCACACTCACGCACACACGCACTCACACATTCACACACACACACACACACACACACACACACACACACATGAATCCGCACGAATGCACGCGCTCACACACGCACGCATACACGCAAACACACGCACACTCACGCACGCACGCACACTCATGCACACGCACGCAGTCGCAAGCGCACGCACGCACGCACGCGCACACACACGCACGCACACGCACGCACACTCACGCAATCTCACGCACACTCACGCACACTCACGCACGTTCACGCACACTCACGCCCACTCACGCACACTCACGCACACACGCACTCACACACTCATACACTCACACACATACACACTCACACATACACACCTAGCAGATCGGCTTTCTCCTTTGCGGTATGGGCCAGTGAGTCATCCTGTGCAGAGATGGAACAGATGGCTGACAGAAATTCCCCTGAACAGCCTTGGCGAGAGACCAGAATGCACGAGTTCCAGAAGGAAGCGAACTGGTTTCTCACCAATTCTGCCTATGTGCTCTGACTTTGCCTTGGCAATGATTCTTTTGAGGGGCCTGGAGGCGGAATTAAACTTCTTTTTTAGAGCGCTGGTGTTTACATCCCGGGACGTTGATGCGTCAGCCCAGGCTTAGTAGCACTCCTGCTTATAGCATGATGCTATTATACAGGAGCGACCAAACCATGGCTGAGATTTGCCTCCGATGTGCACCACAGAGGAAGGAATAAAAAGTTCCATACCCTAAAGTACCACATCAGTGACAGAATCCGCAACAACGTTGGGATCGTCTGGCGAGAAGCAAACCCGCCCCCAAGGGTAGGATGCAAAGAAATACCGCATCATATCCAATCGGATGACCTATAGTGCCAAACACGGCGTTAGCCTGCAGAATGCAACTGCGATTTCAGCGTAAGTGGCATCACTGGGAACAAGACAATGGTCCGAGGAACCTAAAGGGGCGTCGATGGAAATCTGATATCTGTCCGGATGAGAGGTCAGCAGAAGGTCCAACAGGGAAGGTGCATGATCCTCCACATCTGGAATCTGCGTAGGCGAAGTAACCAGTTGTGTCAGACCATATACCAAGGCAAAATCATGAACAGATCTCCCCGCATGATCGGTTAAACGTGAACCAACCCATTCAGCGTGATGGGCGTTAAAGTCGCCGAGGATCACTATCTCTGCGGAGGGGATCTGCTGTAACAACGAATCTGTAGCCATTTGGACGTGGTCGAAGAGTCGGTTTGTTTCGGCATTACCGCTATGGGATCTATAGAGGCGCGCGGATGGTCGTCGCTCTCTACGCGTAGCCAAAGGATGGACAGGTCCGAACCTTCAAGACTGCTGATGCGTCGAGAACAGATGTCCTCTCTGACGTAAACGCAAACTCCAACCCGAGGCACAAAGGAGTGTTCCAGTTTGTACACCGGGTAGGAGAGACACCTGCCTCTCGGTCAGAAAGAGCAGAGCCGACCTCGCCGTCTGGAGATGGTAGTGGACGGCGCTTATGTTAGAGTGAAGTCCCCTGATATTGCAGAAATTCACGGATAGCGTGGCAGGGGTCACCTTGATTTTGTTGCTCCGTTTGCCCCGAGCAGTTGTAGTTTTGAGCGGAATTTTGCCCCCCCCCCAGAGTAGGGGCAGCCTGAGCAGCCACGCTAACCCACGTAACTTGGTCGTAGATGCTCAGCGATTCCAGCTCCAGGGGTGCTGGTTCCCTCCTGGGGTAGTTTGACATTTAATTCTGCTACCATGTTGATAGGGGGGGGGATTTGGGCCTCCGACCCCATTTCCCCCCAGCTTTGCGAGCCAACCTATTTGAATGCTAATAAATGTATTCTTTATAAGAGAAAGGGTGACTAAAGAAAACACATCTAAATGTAACTTTATATCTACCATTAATTATAAAACAAAATGCAAACGCATTCTCACCGTTGAAGACTAAGATTATTTATCTCGCTTTGTTACCAGTAAAGCTGTGTAGCCATGTATGTGCAGCGTCAGAGAATCCACTACCCAGTATCATCTCGTAGGGGTTGTAAGAGGCGATAGAACTAAACTGAAAGAGGAGGTTGGCAACAGCATCTTCCTAACCACAACTAAATAATAATAAAAATTGTGGTTACCAATTCGGCTGCCAAGCATGGCAACAATAGCAAATATTTCCCTATGAGGCAGTCCATGGGGGAGTCATATATTTAATCGCGGACTTTAGATAGTGTGTTATAAGGTATTAATGAATGAATGAATGAGTTTGAAGTGACAGTAGCCCAATGGCAGAGTGCGGATCACGAACTCAAAAGGTTCGAATCCGCTATCCGCCTACTGTCATGAACCACTCCTAGCACAAGAATTTTAAGCTTACCAGGAGTGATTACAGGGAATATGCAGGGAAGATAGTAACATTGCTAGTATATAAAAAAAAAATGAACAGACAGATCTCCAAATGCACGCGGCGAGTCGGGCCACTTACGCAACTTCAATAAATACAGCTCGTATTGAAGAAGTGATCAGGTCTGCCAGAAAAAGTCAGCTGTCGAAGCAGAAGACCGAATGTAGCAGCATCGTTTCCGGGACACCTGAGATTTTGACCACAGAGAGTTTGAGATTTGATCCAAGACCAAGTCAAAACCAAAACGTCAGTCTGAGCGAGATTAGAATGGCTCTCCAGCACCGTAAAAACGGTAAGTCCCCGGGTGAAGAGCTTCTGAAAGCGGGTGGAAAATCGATACTTAAAGTCGTTCAGAGCCTCTCTAAAACACATCTTCTCGTCAGACATACCTCAAAATCTCAAAACAAGATTGTACTACCAGTGTGTGTTGTCATGGATGACTGATGACCTATGGATCTGAAACGTGGTCTTTCACTGCTGGCTATATAAGGAAGCTCAAAGTGCCTCAGCGAGTATGGGGAGGGCTATGATCGGGATTTCTCTGCGTGAATGACCGAAAAACGAGGATATCCGCAGTAGAACCAGAGTAACAGACATAGCCCAACAGCAATTGAAATGGCAATGAGCCGGCCGGTCGTATAGCTCGAAGAACCGACAACCGATGGGGAAGAAAGCTTCTCGAGTGGCAGCCTCGTACCGGCAGGCGAATTGTAGGGCTAGGGCGTGCCCTAACTTACTAATATACAAGTATACTCATGTATATTAGAAAATTAGGTAAACCATGAGCTTGGCTATTCGAGTGTTAGTTGGTATCAATGTGGTATCAATTAACAATGTTTAATTATTGACGAGTCGATCTAGCTTGAGGTTTTCATCAAGATCTGAGTAGCATACATCGGCATAATCAATGATGGCATCATTAATGGCGTTGGTGTGTGTCGATCAAATGAAGACTAGGGGGCATACTTGTTTTTGCGTTTTGCATTACTTTTTACGCTTTCAGGTAATAAAAAACATTATTATTTTTATCTGTGAAAACATCTGTCATCTGTCAAATTGGAATTATTTACCGTCAGCCACGTTGGAAGTGCCAACATGGTGTTTTTACGGCAGAAATAATAAAACTTTATTGCATTTATGTGAATTTACGTATGTATTATCAAAAAGTATCTTTTGAACGTGCATAGCGGTAATTAGCGTCCTTAATGTCACACGTTTATTTACAGTGTCGAAGTTTTTTCTGTCAATAGTGGTGACATAATTTGTTACATTATTTTGGGTTTTAGCTAATTTTCTATTCAAGTTACTGTAAGATAGTGCCATCAAAATGAAGATCAAAGAGCTGAAGAGAACAGTTAATGTGAGCTGGTCGCCGGCGGAGCAATATCCGATTATGCTCGCGGCTGGCTCTGCCGCGCAGCAAGTCGATGCATCTTTTAGCTCCAATGCGTTTTTAGAACTATATTCTTTGAACTTGGAGGAACCCGGCATGGACTTAGAGCTTAAGTCTAGTTTACAAACACAGCACAAGTAAATGTTTTATTCATCACTTAATATGCTTATATTTATTTCACTGTCTAAATAAGGTGCATACAAATTAAGTCGAAATATATAAAACCTTGCATACTTTAACTTTCAGGTTTCAAAAACTTGTGTGGTCAGGGGCAGGTGTTATTGTTGGAGGATGTGATGGAGGTTTATTGCAGTTCTACAATTTTGATAAACTTTTGAATAACTCAACTGATGCTCTTGTGGGAAGTAGCTCAAAACATAGTGGTTAGTTAATTGTAACTATATACTTCTGATATATAATTAATTGATATTGCCAAAATATACTATTTTGTGTTATGGTTATGAAATTAAAATACACCTTAGGCAAATTATTTAAATTAATTTTCCCTTCAATAATGCAAAACAATGTGGTAGATTCACATTGAATATACTAATTTTAATTTAATACAGAATTAAAATATGTAAAATTTTAATGTGATGAAGTTATAAAATTATTTTTAATCAACAGCTTAGTTTGGAATTGTTTGTTTGTCTTCTATGCAATGCCTATTTTTTGTCGAACCCTTGCTAAGAAAAAAGAGGCATTAGCAAGATAGGCATAACTGATATGTAATATTTTTAAGAAACCAATATTCTGAAACAATTAAATAAAATTTATTTTATTTTATTCAATATTAATTAAATTGGTAAATAATTAGATTTACAACAGACTGTACTTATGTTAGAATGCAATGTAAGACATCATTACTACCACCACCACCACCACCATCATCATCATCATCTTCATCACTATCATCATTACAGTCTGTTACAAGTTGCTGAACATAGATCTCCCCCAAGGAATGCCATAAAGCATGGTCCTGAGCCACCAGCATATGAGACATACTGAGTTAAAATTCCATCCACACCTTTAAATCGGCAATTCATGCTGTTTACGCCGAGGCGAAAAATCTATTTAGGTGCAGGTTGAGGCGGAGGTGGTGTGCTCAGATATTTCATCGCCGCTTGACAAAAGCACACAGAACGCGACCGACTGTTGATTGAAGTATTAGTACATTAATATCAAAATTGTAAAAGTTAAAATATAAGTATTTTGTAAGAACTATGTCTTATTTAATACCCTTCACGGGCAGTTCTTAAATAACCGCTTTCATTTAAACCTAGGTTTCATGATGTCCTTTGATCACTAAGCAAAGCTAAATGCAAAAGCAAAGCTAAGTGTAAGTTTGATTCCATAGCCTACTTTTATTATAGATTATTTTTTTGAAATGTATGCAAAATATTGTTTACTTGATAAAGTGTATTTTAATATGAATAGTGATAGTGTTCACTATTTTTCATAACCTAATTTATCCCACTACAGTGTACATTTTGTACATTACAGTGGCTCATGATAGGTCAGTTGATATAAAAACTTCTTAAGTGATAATGTTATCTCTTAATTTAATAATGGCAAAAGCAACATATTGGTTACATTTTATGAAATTTTAATGAAAATTATTTTAATAAAAAAAGAAAAGTTGCAGTCTATATATGTCCTAGTACTGGGCACAGGCCACCTGTCATTACTAAGAAGTTTGAAGGTCAAGAAAATGTGGTCCCAAATAAATTTGATCAAGATCTGATCAATAGTTTTTGAGTTATTCTTAATAATGCATATTTAATTGACTTCAACTACATTGATTATATTCTCATTTTATTTATATTAAAATTGGTGGCTCTTAATTTTTAATTGTACCACTTGTTACTTTAATTTTTCGAGTACCCCTTACACTACGGCATCAAGATCACAACTTGTATAGTTAAAAAAGTTAAAGTGACAGCCTATTTACGTCCCACTGCTAGGCATAGGCCTCCTCTTATTTCTGAGAGGTTTACGTCTTGTATGAAGTGAAAAGTTAGGGGGTTATGGTGGAGCCCAATCCAGTTCTTTGGCAGACACTGAACATATGTCTGAGTACTCAGATGTTGGTGATATTTTGGGTGTTGCATCTGAACTGGATGACGATAATGACATACTTCAGTTTCATCATCATCAATCCAACTTATCTTTGGGTAAAAATAGCTTCGTATGCTGTCTAATCATCGCTATCTATTTCTCTAATTATTATGGATTTACTTGAAACACCACCTCATCAAAAAAAATTCTCAATCTCTCAGAGTGATGAATGCTTCATGATTTGGGAGTAGAAGAAGATAACAGCACTCAGCTTGTTAAAACTCAATCACTTTCAAACATATTGAAATTAAATAATTGTTTCATCCAATAGACCAATCCAGTCAGGTCTTTGTTTTTTAAGAATTATTTATTGTCTAATATTATATACCCAAAGTATGAAATTGCAACTAGCATTCAGTATATGCCATTGGTTATTTGTATGTCATTAATACTTTCAATAGCTATATTTAGATGTTTATCGCCACACAGGCCATGTATCAGCACTTGATATTAACCCTTACCAGCGGAACTTGCTGGCGTCAGGAGCTTCAGAGAGTGAGATCTTCATTTGGGACTTAAATAATACTACCCAACCTATGGCGCCTGGCAATAGAAATCAACCTTATGATCATGTACAGGGCTTGGCATGGAATCAACAGGTAGGTAAATAAAAAACTAATATAATATTAAATATTGTTAAGCCATCTCTTATTTAATGTTGATTCTCTAATTTTAGTGTTCATTAATAATTGTTGCCTCAACAATCTTCAACTTCACCGTAGTGTATGTTTTAAGGAATGTAAGCAAGCGTTGTCATGGTTTTTTTATGAGTCCGTTTATGAAATTAAAAATATGCCAGCAATCCATTAAATTAACTGAACTTTGTCATAAAACCATGTAAATATTATCATCTGTAGCATAATAAAGTGATCCGCGATGATAAAACTAGCTTTTACGGATTTTATTGTGTATGTTAACTTATGTTCCCGACGTTTCGAGCACTTTACAGTCCCCATGGTCACAGGGGGACTCCCCTTTTTTATTTAAATGTGTAGTGTTAGCGTAAACATAAGAAATCACCTAAAGAATATCCAAATGGTCTCAAATGTGATTTTTTTCAAATTTGGCAACGACTTGAAAATACTCTTAAAAGTTTATAACTCTGGTGCCAAAACTCACATTCACTTATCCTGGCTTCTGGCAAGTACTTACAATAAGGTAGTTACCGATCCAGGAGACCATACTTCATAGTGAGTTCCTGGTGTAGAATGCTGGTGAAAACTACTAGGTTATGTCTGTGCAAGTACTCTGAAAGTATCAAACAACTGGCTATGATATGTGTGACACAACAGGATGGCGACAAGCTTGACAGAAGTCAATAGTAAAGGAAGGCTTCTTTGAGAGAATATCTCTGATAATTGTTGGTCTTAATAACATCACCAAAATATAGGGAGGGAATGGAGGGTAGAGTGTTGTGGAGCTCTTCCTTTACCTGCATGATCTTCCAATCAGAATGTTTTGCACTGCCAGGCTTATTACTTGTTGACTAAAGATTAGGATGTTAATCCTTTATCACATGTAACAACATCCATCTAGAACAGATCATTTAATTTCATAAGGAAGTAATGAGATGGTGCTGAAGCTGGACTTCATGGTTGTACATGGTGAGGATGCTTAAAAAGTTACCCCCACCAAGTTATGACTGCAATTAAAGTCTCTTAATTGAAGATCTCAGATGATGTATCCTGTGTGATGTCATAACAGTGCGAACTTTTCTGTCTGGAACTATATACGAAGGCATGACCTAACCATTATTATTGTGCCTTATTTACGCCTGCCAAAATGCTGTTAAGCACTTCTATTAAGAATTAAAAGACATGAATTGATTGCTTTGCAAATAAATGCGTTTTGATCATGTGTAACGTCCAAGTCACGCTTATGCCTTATGTTATTGGGAGCACTAAGTTCGAAGTCGTTGAGAAATATAATTACCTGGGACAAATAGTCTGACTAGGTAAGTCCAACTTTTACTGTGAAGTCAATCGACGGATTCAACTTGGCTCAGCAGCATTTGGGAAATTACGTCACATCTTGCCGTCAGGTATACCTCAAAACTTGTAAACGAGATCGTGCGATCAACCAGTGCGTGTTGCCAGTGATGTCTAATAGACATGGTCCATCACTGCTGGCCGTATGAGGAAGCTGAATGTCGCTCAGCGACCTATGTCTAGGCTGGGGGTTTCTCTGCGTTATACATTTAGAAATGAGGATATTCGCAGTAGAACCAGAGCGATCGACATAGCCCAATGAATTAGTAAACTGAAGTGGAAATGGACCGCCCATGTGGTTTGAAGAGCCGACAATCGATGGGGAAGAAAGGTTCTCGAGTGGCAGCTTCGTATCGGTAGGTGAAGTGTAGGGCGACCCCCGCGTGATGAAGTGACGACCTGGTTGGGCATGCATGAAGTCGATGGATGCAGATGGCTCAGGACCGAACTTTGTGTAATTCTGAGATTCTAAAGATCTGTGAAGGGCTGCATATTAACACAAAATCTTAAGCAGTGTAATTATAAGATACTCTGGCTTTGAATTATTATTCCTTTTTTTTATAGGAGAACAGGCAAACGAGCATATGGCTCACCTGATGGTAAGTGATTACCAAAGCCCATAAACAACTGCAACACCAGGGGAATTGCAGATGCGTTGCCGGCCTTTTAAAAAGGAGTAGGCTCTTTTCCTGAAGGTCCCTAATTATCGGTCCGGAAAAATCTGGTGGTAGTCGATTCCACTAGGAAGTTGTGCGAGGAAGAAAACTTGTTTTGAAATACTGATGTACTTAAACACAAGATACTTGTTTTAGGTTCAACACATTCTTGGTTCCACATTTGCTAATAGGTGTGTAGTTTGGGACCTGAGGAAAAACGAACCTATTATGAAACTGAGGTAAGACAAAATTTTGTTTTTGTATATTTTTGTTTTTTTTTTTTCTTCTTATACAGTCTCAGTTCTTGATATGTCACTGCTGAACCTTTATTCATTCATTACTGTCCGTTAAAAGTCCACTACTTAACATAGGCCTCCCACATAGAATGTCCGATGAGCTACTACCATTCAGATGCTCCTGCCCATCTCCTGTTCCAGTTTCCCTCTGTTGCCTTCACTCACGGGCTGATGTGAAGAATCGCCGGCTGGGCGGGTAGCTGGCACGGTAAATATGCCACGCAGTTTTTTTCATTTACAACCGTTAATTTTTTTAGTTAACCATTTAGATAAAGTTACTTATCTGAAATAAACTTCAAATTACGTTGACAAAGATTCTTAGCCACATTAAAAAAATTGTGAGATTGCCAAATGTTACTTTAAAAAAAAACACTCCCACCCACTCGCACTCCACAAAAGAAGTTACAGAGAATTGACTTATGCAACAGCGTATTAGTACCTTAGTGTCAATCTAGTACTACGCATAGTAGTCTGTAGTTCGCACCTTTAACCTGTCGTCTCTCGGAAGTATGTATAAGCGATTTACAAATATAACATAAGTGAGTTATTAATCTATAGTTGAAATTATTTTGCAAAACGTTAAGAGACTCATGGGAAAAGTTTGGACTGTTTAAGGGCTGATTGTTGATTTTGAATTTCCAACAGTTATTTTGAAGTTATGTCTAATTATTCTTTGTTCGTTGTAGCGACTCTCAGTCGCGTACACGTTGGCGATCGTTGGCGTGGCATCCGTCTGTGGCGACGCAACTTTGCATCGCTTCCGAAGATGACCAGGTTCCTGTTATTCAGCTTTGGGATCTTAGGTAAGTTGCAGTCTACTGTTTATGACTCGTTATATTATGAAGTTATTAAATAATGCATTCTATTATTGTAAATGTATTTTACCAAGTTTTTATTCTATCTGTATCTATGTGTATCTGTGCGGGTCAAATTTAGTAATTAATTTAAACTAACTTCCTGAGGAGATAGAGACGAATATGATAGAGAGAAAAAATTCTCAAAAAAATTCTCAGTCTGATGAAAATTATTAGAATATGACAAAAACATAATATATTAAAAAATAATAATTTGTTTTTGCAGGTTTTCCTCATTTAGAATTTTAGTATTTGTATTTATGTAGCAAGATATAAATTGAAGTTTATTATATACCTATTGAAATCGTTAAATTTTTACGAATTTTGTTTCATCAAAGTCTTTTGATGATAAGTGGCTATTGCCACTCCCGAGAACTAAGATGTAATGCATCACAGCCTATTGTTTTACTTGCTCTTAATTTCATCAAATCGGAATATAATAAAATAATAAAAATAGCTGAGTGGCATTAAAGCAGATGAAATCCAGGCCGAAAAGAAGTGGTATTTGTTTTGATATAATAATTATCTTACATGGGATTTTATAGGCTGGCTGCTTCACCTTTGGTAACATTGGAGGGTCATCAGAAAGGAGTACTCTCTCTATCATGGTGCCGACAGGATCCAGACCTCCTTGTATCAGCTGGCAAAGATGGCCGTCTTCTCTGTTGGAATCCCAACAACACTAAACCGGTGAGCTGTATTTGCTTTGTTAATATTACTTTGTTGACAACTATAAAAACTGCAGCAGTTTCACGTTTCTCTCAATTAATAAGGTAGTAATAGGCTGAGCTTTATAGTATATAGACTGAAACTGTCTGCACTAATTAAATTGTTAATTGTAATTTAATGCTGATTTACCACACCTTCTGCGGTGAAGGAAAACATTATTAGACAATTTGTCTGAAAATTAAAAAAAAATCGAAGACTTGTGAAGTCCTCCAACATATATTGGGGCAGAGTGGCAGGCACTTTTTGCCCCTGAGAGTAGCCTGTGCTCTTGTATCTTCTTGTATCTTTATATAATATATAATTTTTCTGTTTGTGTGTTTGTCACTGAACTCTTCTTAAACATTTGGACCGATTATAATAAAAGATTGTGTTTTTGTGTGGGTTCCTGGATGGTTGACATTTATAATTTGGCCCAGTAGGTGGCGCTGTTGTCGAGGTACAGAAATCATCGGCGCGAAGCCGGAGCGGATTGCTTGTGTACGACAAATTGTTTACTTTTGTTCCTGTTTTTATATATTAAGTTTACATTTATTTATAAATATGAACACATTATTAATATGTTTTGCTTATAAATATGTTGTTATTTTTTTATGTTATCTTTTTATTTTGAATATTTCGTGGTTTTAATTATATGGCTCAATTTACACTGCTGCGGAATGGAAAGGAAGCATATTTCGTAACGAAATTGTACATAGTAAAATGAGTCTTACGTTAACTTTGTAACGCGCAAACTAGATAGGTATTAGCTAAAAAAGAAGTTGCGCGTCTTTCGGGGAATTCTCGAGGATTCCCGTAGCTACTGTCGGCGAAGTCTGTGAAAATGGCTCATATCTAATTTGCGCATTACACTACATAAGAATCATTTTACTATATACAATTTCGTTAAAAAAAAATTGCTTCCATTTCGTTCCGTATCAGTGTAAATTGTGCCTAAGTGTCATATGAATATGTTTCTTTCTCTCTTTCTATTTCACGGAATTGATGTGGTAAATAAATATTTTTTTTATTGTAAAGGTTTGTGTAGTGGTGGTGTAAGAGAATCTACTAAGCCATATAATCCCATGGGTGTCGTAAGAGGCGACAGATTGAACTTGGAGCAGGAGAAAAAGATCCTCCACCAATGAATGTCACATGTACCAATGGAGTGTAGCGGGGGATATGATATACATTAATGATGGTGTTGGGACACAGGGTGGGGAGCTGGTGCTGGAGGTGTGCCGGCAGGAGGCGTGGGTGTTCGAGGTGGGCTGGTGCCCGCGCAGCCCTGCGCTGTTGGCCAGCGCCTCCTCCGAGCAGCAGGTCGCCGTGCACGCGCTGCTGCCCGCGCGCATGCCGGACACGGTCAGTTTTACTACTTTTTATCTTGCTTCACGTGGACTTCCCCATAATAGGAGAATTACATCTCTGAGGTTTAAGGTGAAACATTCTCAAAGTATTTAATTACTAGATCCTTATAGTGTTCTTATTTGGATTAGACGCGCAGCTATATTAGTTATAGCACGAATGGATTGGCTTGACCGGGGTTAGAACCACGTTCTCACAGAATACCAGCACAAAATAGCAACTTAAGGCTGCTGTGTTTTGTATGGTGAATGTAGAGAACTGGGGACCCTTTTTTACTGAAAACGAGACATTGTATCTTAGTCCACAGGGGTGACAACGCATCTGCATTTTGATTCTTAATCGATGATAAATGTAGATGTCTATGGGCCACTGCGTCCACTTACCATAAGGTGGGCTATATGCTCGTTTGTCACCCCATATTCTATAAAAAAAGCAGATGTAAAATAATTTTTAAACACGAATTGTGTAGATATAACTGATAAATGATATTTTTATTATTATTAATTGACATTGTATATAATATAGTTCAATTAATTTTATTTTTTATTATTATATTTGACATGCACGATTACAAAGAACAACAAGAGAACAATTGCGAACTGAAATGGTTTTTTAGGAACCAAACGGGGAGAACCCCCCCGCCCCGGGTAGATATTTTTACTATGAAATGGAATGTTGTTATTGTATTATTATTAATTTAGTTAGTATAAAGATTAATAAAAATAATATTTTAAGAAAAAGTTGATTGTTTCTACTAAAGACTTAGAATGTTATACATAGTATTTAGTAATATAAAATATATCATTGAACATACTAAAACAAATTTAATTTAATATATATTACAAGAGTACCTATTGAACGTTATTTTAGTTTGACCACTGGTTCGAAAAAACCCTAGTCCTGGGAAAAACTAGTAAGAAATCCAGCAGGACTTTTTTAAAGATTAATTTACAGTATAAAATGTTATATAATTAAGTAAGAAAAAGAAAGTCTCTGGTTCTCTACATTCACCATACGAAACACGTGCATCATTAACAGCTTAGTGCTGCTGTGTTCGTTTAACGCTGGTATTGCATGAGAGCGTATTTCTACCCTGGTCGAGCCGACCCATTAGTGCTGCACATACATAGATACATCTATATGTGCATACAACCATAGCTGTGGCATGGCTCTACCATGTTAATAAAGATAAAATAAAAAAATGTATCCTTATTGTATAAAAAACGACGGCTCCGCGCGCAGTGGCTTATCAATGAGTGGCTGCGCTGGGGATTGCGGGTTAGAATCCCGCACGGAACAAGTATTTTTATGGCGTACAAATAATTGTCTAGGGTCTGGATGTGTGTCCTTGTGCAATTTATGTTTGTAAACTGCCTCCACGATACAGGAGAAAATCCTAGTGTGAGGGTAACGTTTAAAAAAAAGAAAGGAAAAGGGGTTTCTCCTTACTAGATGGTGTGAGTACCTAGTAAGATATGCAGTAGACTTTATGGTGAAAATGTTAATGTGCAAATGTTTGTTATCAGAGCGCGCACAACCAGAGCAGCATGCTGGAGTCGTTCGGCGGCGCGGGCTCGCTGGGCGCGCTGCCGAGCGTGGAGCGCGCCGCGCCGCCGCCGCCGCCGCCGCAGCCCGCGCGCGCCCCGCGCTGGCTACGTCGCCCCGCCGCCGCGCGCTTCGCGGTCAGTGCTTCCCTTAGTGCACCGTACCGGACCGCGCCGTATCGTGACGGACCGGCCCGGACCGTGTCGCACCGGTCTGCACCGTGTCGGACCGTGCCATGATCACCGTTATGCCGCTCGAAAAATAAAAAAATAAAAATTATTTAAATATAAGTAATATTTCCCACAAACTAGTTCACATTATAGAAAAAAAATAACAGAAGTAAATATAAATTTTAATATCAAAATAATCAACGACTTTAGCGGAATGACCCAACGCCCATCCGTACAAGAAGTTAAATTTTTATTGTAACTGCAAAAAATTCCGCAGTAAGAATGCAGGCAGTAGCGTAACGCAATCACACCTTTACATTTTTTGTTTACCTGTTGTTGTTTGAGATATAAATTTCAAGTTATAATATCTATTTTGTCGCTTTGAGATACCATTGTTATTGAATGTTAACAGATTAAGCTCTCGTCAAAACCTAATAACTTCGCAATCTAATACATAATCATATTATGAAAATTTGCTACCCTTTGTTTATAAACGATAACTTCCATTATTAGTATTTATTTAATAATAGCAAAAGTACTGTAAAATTTCGTGTAATGACGGTGTAAGAATATCCACTATGTACCCGATATCGTCCCGCGGGTGTCGTAACAAGCGACAGAGAGAATCGAGTCAGGAGATGGGCAGCAGCGTCTTCCTGATAATGACTAAAAAGAACTGCAGCTGCCAACTCGCTTGCTAAGCGTGCCAACTGTGCCAATGATTCCCCTATTAAGCAATATATGGGGGAGGCCTATGTTTAGCAATGGACTTGAAGTCCTTGTATATGATATACGCGACAACTAGCCAATGTTAGCGATTTATTTCCGTCTTTGCGATAATTTTAACGATTTTTAGCAATATTTCAAATCAACTATAATTATTTTGATAAGAAACCAATAGAGAGTTTAAACCTAATTGATTTGAATAAAACTTATTGCATCAAATTTGAAGTCTCTAAAATATTGTGTTTAAAAAAATAATTTCTATTGTTATTCATGTGTTTGAAATAAATTGCTCTAAGTACCTTGGGTTGTTTTATATAAAAATCTTTTGTTTTCTTCAGTTTGGTGGTAAGCTCGTGACTTTCGAAAAGTGTCCACAAGAGGCCGGCTCACAGAAACTGGTTTACATAAGCCAGGTATGAAATTTGTCTTATTATCATGAAATATATTTTTACTTTTTTTAACACATAATAAATATAACAAAGTGTGGTATGTTATTTTGTAGGTAGTGAGTGAACCGGAAATAGTTGAGAAAGCTACGGAATTAGATAATGTGTTAAGTCTAACTTTAAATCAGGAACCAGGAGCTACGGAGAAACTCGCAGAGTATGTTTATATTTTAATTTTATTTACATTCAGATTATAGACCTATATTTTAATGAGGGTTTATAACCTTCCCTCCACTAGTGGTCGCTAGGTAGGATTGAGGTAAAGTTTTTTGTTACAAAATCTAATATGATTGAGAACTATCAGTATTATTTTACTTTATATTTTTACAATATACATCAAATTCTCACCATTTCATAGTTGTTGACTGGTAGAGAAAGCCTCAAGGCAATAAGTTCGCCCTTTGCATTCTTGTATATTAAGGAATGCAATAAAGAGTAAGGAAATAAATAAATAAATATTATAAATATATATATATATATATATATATATATATATATATATATATATATATATATATATATATATATGCACAAAACAATGCCTCACTGGTTTGTTTCTTAATGTTTATCATATTTTTACCTCTTATTTAATTTTTCTTCTTTCAAAAATCTATTCTTTTGTTTATTAAATTCTCATTCCACCATGTAATCTGTCAAATATTTCACTTCGTGCTTACGTGGTGCTGGCCTGGTGGCAAGAAAGTGGTGGATGCCGTCACTGTTAGCTAACGTTATGTTTCATTTGCGTGCAGGTACTGCCGTCAGAAGGGTGAAGTGGCGACCGATCAAAACGAGCGCTACGTATGGTTCTTCCTGCGCGCCAACTTCCTGCCCACCTTCCGCAGCGAAGTCCTCAACTTACTCGGTGGGTACTGCTCATCTACCAAGAAAAAATATTAAAATCCCATTGTTTTGAATAGAACAAGGAAGATATAATATACGAGTAGCTCCTCAGAACTGTTACTAGTATATCTGATATAACGAGATTGATACCCGCTGCAGCTATATTAGTTGCAGCATGAATGGGTCATGACCGGGGTGGGATCATGCTTTCACAGAATACCAACGTGAAATAGCAATTTATTGCTTCTTTGTTTCGTATGGTGAGTTTCTCTAAACTTCTGGTTGTCTAACCAGAGACCCATTTACTGGAAACGAAGCGTTCCATCTCAATCGTCACTGGTAACAATGCATCTGCATTTTGATTTTTAATTAAGATGTCTATAGGCCACAGCATCCGCTTACCATCAGGTGAACTGTGTGCTCGTTTGTAACCATTATTAAAATATAAAAAAATTACAGTAGGTACAAACAATGCAAGTACTTGTAATGCACATACACTATATACAATTGTTATTCACTAATTATCTATGGGTTGTATATTATTTATTACACCAATAATGTATGTATATAAATTAAAGTTTATATTAACTGTCTGCAACACAAGCATGCACTGTTTGGGTCATTCTCGTTCTCATGTTTGAAAAGATATTGAAGTACGACGACTCCGTGGCGTAGTGGCTTAGCAATGAGTGGCTGCGCTGGGAGTCGGAACAAGTATTTGTATGGCCTACAAATAATTGTTCCGGGTCTGGATGTTTGTCCTTGTGCAATGTATGTTTGTAAATTGCCCCCACGATACAGGAGAAAATCCTAGTGTGGGGGTAACGTTTTTTAAAGAAAATAAATAAAAAAAGTGAGAGAGTCCTAAATATATTTTATTTATTGACATTTAGTTTTTCTTCTATAACCAGCAACCATGTGCCAAATAAGATTTTTTTATAGAATAAGGGTGTTAAACAAGACCTTTTTTACCTTTTCACGGTGACCTTCTGCTGAAAATGAGGCATTTTATTTTAATTCTCGAGGGTGGGAACACATTTTGATTTTTAATCGAGGATAGATGTAGATGTCTATGGGCTTCAGCATCCACTTACCATCAGGTGGACTGTGTGCTCGTTTGTAACCCATATTGTATAAAAAAATGAGCACACAGTCTACCTGATAGTAAGCGGATGCCGTCATCCATAGATTTATCTATATTTATCATCAATTAAGTATCAAAATGCAGATGCGTTGTCACCCGTGAGGACTAAGATGGAATGCCTCGTTTCCAGTAAAAGGGGTATGATACAGCAGCATGAAGCTGCTATTTTACGCTGGTATCCTGTGAGAGCATTGTCCTTCCTACCCACACGAGCTACCGAATAGGATAAAAGTAGCCGATTGGGATGAATATTGAATAATAGCCAAATATTCGTTGCAAGTTTAGTTACAACATATCTTCATTTTGATTCCTAATCGAGGATAGATGTATGTCTATGAGCGTACTACATTCACTTACCATCTGGTCGACTGTGTGCTCATTTGTCACCCTTATTCTATAAAAAAGAAAATAAAACTTTAAAAAAACATACAGTCGAATTATAAGCCTCCTCCATTTCTAAAGTCAGTTAATAATTTTCCACAGGATTCAAGCAAGATGACGTCTCGTCAAAATTCAAAAATTCTCTGCCCTCGACGGGAGACGTGCAACATGACTTGGCGGCTTTGAGTCGAGTGAGTAGTTTATTATGTGATATAGGGTAAAGTAACCGTAAGAATAGTAACTATTTTGCACCAATGAGTAAGAGCATTACTTATACTATGCGCGCAAGATAAGAATAGAGATGGGTTTGTTGACAATGTCACTCTCACGTCAATTTAATGACATCTTCATGGCCGTTTGTCAATCTAAGATTATGGTTTCATTTATTATAAGGAATATGTAACGAAAAGCTGCCACAATTATAAACAATTTAAATGAAAAATAATATTTTTTTGTATGTGCGGTGTAGTGTTGGTACAAGCCACTACTCCAAACTAGCATCCCGTGGCAATAGTAAGGCGACGGAGAGTAATGGATGGGCTGTTATTTCATACTAGTATTTTGTTTACTAATAAAATCTCTGTGTTTGCCAAATTGCCTGTCAAGCGTCCCGACTAAGGCACATAGCCTCCCTATGATAGCAAGTTTTTATTAGCTTGAAATGTATACTATATTACACATGTATATAAGTACATCTGAAATTAATGGAATTCTTCTCCTAATTTCTTCTTTTCTAATTTGAAAATCAGCAGAGGCAATACCATAGAATGCTATAATACACAATAAAATGTTTGTAACCGTACAAGTAATTACGTCGTATTATCATACTACAAACCTGATTCGCTGTTTTGACAGACTGACTAAATTTACACATTTTAGACTTTTGAAAATCATCTGAATGACAGGGTGAGAAATTGCGTGATAAGAGATAAATGTGGTATGCAAGATGATGTTGTGACCAGGATTAAGAAAGGAATGCTTCGGTGGTTTGGTCACGTAGAAAGAATGAATGAAGAAAGAGTGACAAAGCAAATTTATATGGCAGATGTGAATGGCCGAGTCGGGAAGGGACGCCCTAGGAAAAAGTTTATCGACCAAATTAGCGATATTTTGAAAATGGGCCACATTACAAGTACCCTTAACCGACGAGCATGTATGCGTAGATATATGGATGTAAAGAAGGCGAAAGAGGTATGTCAGGATCGTGCCAAATGGAAGTCCGTAGTCTCTGCCTACCCCTCTGGGTGACAGGCGTGAGTGTTTATGTATGTAATATGTATGAAAATCATCATTAAAAAATCGTTTAAATTTTAATTCATATTTATATGTAAATAGTGTGCTATTTAGTATTTTCTAAATAATTCGCATGCAAAATTTGGAAACGATTGTAACGTCAAAACACATCTCGTGTTGACATTTATACGTGTGAATTGGCATGTTAGTGACATTTTAGTGGCTCGGGCTCTGCCCACTCCCCCGTTCTATTATGTATGTATTATAGTATTCTATGGGCAACACAATAGTCATGTATGTAGCATAGTATTTTTACTAGAATCATTAGTCAATCACAGCTCATAATCGATGCGTGTTTTTAAACTCTAATTTTATAATACATTTAACTTTCCATATCTTGCACAATGCAGTTAAAGTAATTGTTTAAAGGCGAAATATCAAAATAACTGCCCTATTCTTATCGTGCGCGTGACGTGTCCTTTACTTTCTAATATTTTCTAACAAGACGTTTATCTGTAATCTTAATTTTAACAACGCTTTTTACTCTTTCCATTTCTTGTATAGTTCTGAAATTAAATATAAATCATTAAATATAAATAACATATATCTATTTTTATTTAAACTTTGCTCATTGATTTGTAATTATATGCAACTTTAACTGTACAAATATATTTGTATAGTTTAGTTGAGTAATTCATATGTAATTATGTCCTCTATTAAAATGTGCAGATGTAATTGTTTTTGGCTTAGTCTCATATTCATCTTAAACGTATTCTTGGGGTTCTTTTTGACTGAAACGAACTTTTAATAACTAATATACCAACTGAAAATAAGAGTTTCTTTTGAAATCTTACTTGTGAGTAATTCTTTGTTTATACCTGGTTCTTCTAATGTTTCACCTTGCATGAGGCAACTTAATACTGTTGTATAATACACAAACACTAATTGCAAGTTAACAATTTGGAAATTTGTGTGTGTGTGTGTGCGAATCGGGTTTATATGGCGCAGGGCGAGTCCACGGAGACCGAGGCCGAGCTCTCCACCGACACCAGCACAGACCTCTCGGTGAGTGCACACCGCTGTACACATATACAACGGTCACACATCCATGCACAATACTCTGTACACATCTCTCCATGCACAATACTCTGTTAGCATCTCTAGACACAGCATATAACTCAGGTCTGTTTTTTTGGAATGGTGGAAAAACGAAGAATGAAATTAAGTATTATGTTAGCATCTACGGATAACGATACGTATCGTTTTTGATACATTGCTTTATCGCTTGCACTTCTTACCACATTACGTAGTACGGGGTGTAGTAACAGACGGTTATTCAGAGATGACAAACCGTTTTAGTTTCGACATGTCAGGGGTCACGTATCAGTGATCAAAGCTTCAGGAATTATATGTTTATAAAGAACTGTGAAGTATGCTATTTCTATATAAATTTTTTAATAAGTATAGATTAGTATAGATACTACCAGAAGTTGAAGCAGAGATAACAATTGAAACAGGAAAATGGTGAAAAGGTTCATCAACCTTCTACTTCGACAGTGCCCCCAAAAGTCATTGTCCGTTTTTTTCGCTTGTCTTATATTATACAGGTGTCCTATAATATACTTATAGTATACAGGGTTATTTTTCAAAGAGAAGCCAAATTTTAAAGTTTTTTTTGGAAGAAGGCTTCTACTTTTAATTGAAATTATCCCAAATTGAATGTGATTTATGGGCAACAACGTTTTTGTCTACTGATCTACCCATACGAATGTGCGCGTGCGCAGTAAAATCAGTTAAAATAATTCATTGCCACGCATTTTGAATTTGAAATTTTGATGAAAAGGATTGAATGTTTGCGATTTTTTTAATTAATTTTTCTTCAACGTTTGCTATATTACTTACCTTCTCTGCATATTTAGCCGGTTATTGCATAACCCCGTATATTTACACACTTCTATCTGTACAAAATATCGGATTCACGCAACTCTGCACGCACCCAACTTATATATGATATGGACAGTGGCGAAGCTAGAGCTCCAAGCAAGGGCAAGCCCAAGATATAAATTGATAAAAATATAGATTGTTGTTTTTAGCAGTTTTATAAAAATACACCAATCTTGATCTGTCTCCACGCTTCAGTTTCATATTCAGTGCCGTCAAGGACGTGTTAACAAAGCACACAGAAGGCATACCACGCATAGGTTAGATAGATTGTATAACATATCAGCAATTGCATAGCTTCGGTGACTTTGAAGAAAGCCGTTTGGGTTTATTTAAGCGAAAGAAAAAAAATATTTACATCCAATACAATACATGAACAAAAATAAAACACGAACAAAGTACAAACACATGTACAAAACTAAAAAAAAATTATTTACATTCTAATGGATAAGAGATAAGATAAGATAAGTGGAATCGTCTCGCTTTCTTATGAAAAGATTTAATTACGTCCACGTAAAATGTTGGTGAACGTTTTAATTGTACCAATAACTGTTTTTAATTGCGATAATTGATATGTCTGAAATACACTCTTAACCTTATGTATTATCTCAACAAAGTTTAAAGATTTCCTCTCCGATTATCACTTTAACACACTTCAATTCATCACAAGGAACACTATTATCCTCCATTTTCTAAAAATCTTTAAAAAAGCATAAATTTTGAACTCGTAATATTAAATCGCTTAAGATAAGCACACAGAGTAAATAAACATTGAAACGTGAAATGAACTTGCAAACGAGCCCGCGCGCCTCCACTTTTAACAAATTTATTCCCAAAAGCCTGGCTTTAAATCTCTATACTAATTGCTATATATACAATCGTAGTTATATTTCATTATAGAATATTTTGCCATAGGTTAGAAAGAGAGCGATCGTCTTCTCGAAAGCCCCGTAAAAAGCCCACGCGAGCGAGGGAGACAACTATTAGCTCTATTAAAACTCATTTTTTATGACAGCAGCAGTATCGCTAAGGCAATACGAAGTCATCGGTCGACATGTGTCGAACAGTGGAGTGCGCGGGAAATTTGAAATAGCTTGAAACATTTTACGAGTTATTTTATTAGTTGATATTATTGATTGATATTATTGATTGATTCAGGTTTAATAAGGCAAGCCCGGCTTTTCGGCTTTAATGGAAGCTTCGCCACTGGATATGGATATGATTTGAGTTTCTATCGGAATTCAAATAATATCCATTCTTCTTTACGAACGGAAATAAAACAATAAATTTAGTAGGTGTCTTTGACCTTGTCACTTCGTAGAGTCACAGGCTCAAGGGAAAAGGGCAAATTGTTCAAAAAAAATTTTCAAACGTTTTATTCAAATTTTTTTTGTTAAATATCGGTACCATAGGCTTCTACTCTGTTCACATGTTACACCCTAATTTTTTCTAGACGGTAAAAAAGGTCATCCAGCATATTTTTTTTAATAAAGCTGAAGTGATAAGTAAACTTACAGTCCACCTGATGGTAAATGGCTTCTGCAGTCCGTGGACACCCGCAGCTAACTTTGAACAAAGAAGGCTACAGATGCGTTGTCATGTCTGCGGACAAAGATGGAACGGTGTCACAACCTCTAATTATACTAGCTCTGTATATCTTTCAGTTCGGAACACAATAGTGAAAACTTAACAATTTTATATTTTATACGTGGTAGAGCCATGTTGCAGTTATATTAGTAACAGTTATAGAAGTACCACGCTCTCACAGAATATCAGCGTAAAATAACAGCTTAATGCTGCTGCGTTTCATATGATGATTGTAGACAACCGGAGACCCTTTTTACTGGAAACGAGGCAATCCATCTTAGTTCTCACGGGTGACAGAGTATTTGTATTTTGATTCGTAATCAAGGATAGATGTAGATGTCTATGGGCCACAGCACCCACTTACCATCAGTTGGACTGTGTGCTCGTTTATTACCCTATCCGATAAAAAAATTGGCGGCAATAGTGGGTGGCTAAGAGGTGTGTTGTACTCGTAAACAGAAAAGGAGTCTTACCATCTGGAAATATCTGGAATTAGGGTGATAAACGAACACACAGTCCATCTGATGGTAAGTGGATGCTGTGGCCCATACACATCTACATTTAATCTCGATTAGGAATCAAAATGCAGATGCGTTGTCACCCCTTAGGACTAAGATGGAATGCCTCGATTCCAGTGAAATGGATCTCCGGTTCTTTACACTCACATTACGAAACACCGCAGAATCAAGCTGCTATTTTACGTTGGTATTCTGTGACAGCGTGGTCTTTCCCCGGTCTAGCCGATCCTTTCGTGCTACAAGCATAATATAGCTGCAGTGTGGCTCTACTACGTATAATAATACTACACATTGAATAAACTGACCTTTTGAGATTTATACTGGACTTAAATATACCTTTTTTTAAATAAGTTGTAGTACTGCCTGCATTTTATGTAATTTATGTACTACAAATTTTTAACTGTTTGTTGCAGGAAGCACAAACATTGATCGAGAGAAAACTAGCGAATCTTGACTTAGAACCTTCTGTCTCCAATGTTGTCATACCTAACGGTGATGGTAAGCAAGTTATACTCCCTTTCTTATATTACCTCATCAGATAAACTCACAGGGATTCTGCCATAGTAGTCTTTTCAAGGGGGTTGGCAACCATAGTGTTATTGATTTATTTTAAGTTGTTATCAGGAAGATGCTGCAGCCCATCACCTGTTTCCATTCCCTCTGTCGCCTCTTACAACACCCATGAGACGATATGGGGTAGTGGATATTCTTACACCACCACTACACTGTTACTTGGTATATGAGAAGTTAAAATTGCACAATTTTAAGGGGTGGAACTCACTTTTCTGGTATACTATCAAATTAAGTCGAATGCTTATCCCTTGACATACAGCCTTTTCTATATATTTTTGTCATCAATATAAGTACCGTTACAGCCTCTTAAAGTCCACTGCTGAACATAGGCCTCCCCAATAGATTTCCTCATAGGGGAGATATTTGCCATAGCTGCCACGTTTAGCAAGTGGCAACCGCTTTCCAAAAGTGGCAACTATGTTATATAAAAGTTTTTTAAGAAGACGCTGCTGTACATCTCCTGATTTGTTTACCTCTGTCATCTCCTACGACACCCATGGGAACCGTCTCGTTAAGAATATATAACTTGTACCGCCACTACACGGTAATCTGGCACAGCCATACACATCCACACGTCATCCCACTATGTGGAATTCTTTGGGGGAGGCATATGTAATACTCATATATTTGATATATCGTCCTTAATTTTTTTTATCACGATTAATTATATGAACATTTTATTACGTGGCAGAGCTATGCTGCAGCTATATTAGTGGTATAGTTGTGGCACGAATGGGTCGACTCGACCGGGGAAGGACCACGCTCTCACAGAATACCAGCGTAAACTAGCAGCTTAGCGCTGCTGTGTTTCGTATGGTGAGTGTAAAGAACCGGAGACCCTTTTTACTAGAAACGAGGCATCCTATCTTAGTTCTCATGGGTGATAACGCGTCTGCATTTTAATTCGTAATCGAAGATATATGTAGATGTCTATGGACCACAGCAACCATTTACCATCAGGTGGACTGTGTGCTCATTTGTGCCCAGAAAAGCAATAACATATTTTTGAATTTAGTTGTGTTATCTTATGTAATAACATGAATATCTTGTTGTATTTAGACTCGACGAGCCTAATTTGCCGCGCCCTGGTCTGCGGCAACTTGGAGGAGGCGGTGGAATTGTGCCTGGAGGCTAAGAGAGTAGCCGATGCCCTCATTATTGCTTCATTGGGTAAGTTTAAAGTTAAAAAAAAGATATTTTATCTGTTGGTATTGCCAGTAAAAGATGTGATATTTGGATATGGTGGTCAAATGGAATGGGTTTGAATTCATCCAAACTGGAAATGTAATGGAACGGAAATGTGTAATGTTCAGTAATAGTAAAGAGTTCATCAAAGGTAAAAGTATAATCAAAATAATATTGAATATAAATGAAATTATATAAATTAAAATAATTATTAACAACTTACAAATCTGAGATTTGTTTAATGAATTTATAACATTTCAAAAATTGAAAATGTACTATGGTTTGATTAATGTAGGTAATTATATTGCTTATACTATGTACCAACAAGTAGTTAATAAGTTAATAACCACATCGATACCATGTACTCTTGAACTAGCCGCATTTGTCTGTTGTCATACAGTTAATAGGGAGTTAGAAATATAAATGTTGTTGTAAAACTAGCTAAATTGTTTGTCTGTCCGGGCTGATTTTTGGGATGGCTGAACAGATTGTGAAAACAAACAAAGAAAAAAAAAAAAAGTATATTCATTATTTATTAAAATCCATATTTTTTTAATAAATTTTTTAAAAAAAAACAACTAAATGTGCAGTCAAAACAAACTAAAATGGACCGTAACTTAAGGCAATAAGACTTTTAAGAGTGCAGTTTTATTTGTATTATTACTAATTCTGTCATTCAACAAAAATAAAGAACAATGAACTTTATTTCAAGCACGTTAAAGTCTTTGCGTTCATGGATTTTTAGTGTGACCACAACATTCTTCTGGAATTAGTATAACTAATTTGATAAATAATCAGTGCATAAAAATGTTTAACTAAAAATTCAGTGTATGCATTATGATTATAACATAATATACTAATTGGGGTGTCTGAGGGTGTGCATCCATTATGTTACATATTGTATATATGTGGTAGAGCCACACTGTATTTATATTATGGTTGTAGCATGAAGGGGTCTATTCGACCGGGGAAGGACCGCGCTCTCACAGAATACAAGCGTAAGCGTGATTCGCCCCGGCTTCGATCTATGAATGTGGTAATCAAAGACTACTATTAATTTTTTTTTGTGTTTTGAAAATAATCTTCAACTACTTTGGATAAAATATAGCTTAGATACTTCTTGGCATTGCTCTCTGTTGCGATTTGTTCGTAAAGTTTCATTAGAATTGGTTGAGCCATTCTGATGATTAGCCTGGAGAGACACTTAAACAAAAATTTCAAAAATTGTTATTCATCTATTAATAGCTCTCAAATAACTCCATGAAGCCAATTATTTCAATATTACAGATAGATACTTCAATTTTATTCATATGTATAGCCTAAAGTATATATATATATATATATATATATATATATTATTTATATAAATGTTTTTATATTATTATTATAAAGTTTGATAAGCATGTTGTCCGCAGGCAGTCAAGAGCTGCTGTACAAGGTGCAGAAGTACCACCTGAACGCGAGTGCCGGGGAGGCTGTGTCCCTGGTGGCGGGCAGCCTGCTGCAGGGCAAGTGGGACGCGCTGGTGCGCGGCGCCGCGCCCGTCAGCTGGAGGGACACGCTGGCGGCGCTCGTCACGCACTGCGACGGGGATGCGCTCACGCACTACTGCGGTCAGTGGCGTTTGCTTTGCATACTCTCTTTCTGAAATATTGCTTATATGTTATATGAATTACATTACACATGGATTAAAGTAAACATCGGATTTTACTACAGGTGGAAAAATGAAGAAAAGTTAATAATATATAAAACATTATATATATTTTACTATTATGAGCCGTGGTAGCTCAGGAGCTAAGCGGTCGCTGTAAATTTCACAGTACGCCAACAACTCGGGTTTGATCCCCGCCGGCACCAATGAAATTTTTAATTGCAATTTTAATTGCTGATTTACCACGTAAGGAAACCTACATGTAAAAGAAAATTAAAAAAATACTTCGAAGAGATTTGAAGTTCGTCAACACGCATTGGGACAGCGTCGCAAACATTTCCTTGCCCTAAACCCCCCCCCCCCCCCCAAATGAAAGGAAACCTGTGCCCAGGAATGGGACGTATACAGGTGACTATTTTTACCGTTTGTAAAATAACATAGTATTTTTTATAAGTGGAATAGAAGTTATCCTTGAAAGTATTTGTAAAATATAACAAAAAAATAAATAAGTAAACAAAATTTCCGAATATCTAAAAAAATACGTAAGAGCAATTTATCCCACGGCGTTTGAGTAAAACTAAAAATAGGATACGATCGCTAGCGATTGAAAGTTGTAAGAGCGAGCAATATGCATGTACATCTTTAGTTATGTAGGCGCCAGGCGACCGAGTGCGAGGGGAGCGGCCGACAACATCGTTGCAGCCAACATTTTAAGAATCAGCTGACGCGCTCCTTACGTTACCAAAAAATATTCTTTTCATAAGTATTTAGGCACTTTCGATATTTATTTTTGATTTTGACGACCTCGTTGGTCTATTGGTTGTAGTACTGTGACATCTGATCATGAGGTCCTGGATTCGAATCCGGGTCGAGACAAAAAAAAAACAATTTATTTATAATAGAAATTCTCTGCAGCTGCCCGTCGGTGTCTCACCCCCGTGCCTCAGAAAGCACGTGAAGACTTTGGTTTTTTCGCGTATAATGTCAATGACCTTAAAACGTTCAGTGTGTAAGTAGACTTTTCAGTACTAGTTACTGACTACTAATGCAAATATCTATAAAAGAAAAAAATTAAAATAGCAGCACTTTTCATTACCACTCTTTCGTTAATAACGCCGTCGCGTATCGCATGCAAATATCAAAAAATGTGAAAACGAAATGATAAGTAAGTAAATTAAATTACCTTTCCGTCCCGTACGACCGTCTAATATGCTGTAGTGGAGTAAAATTACATGTTTAATTTTATCCTGCATTATAATGAATTGATAAAGAGTTTCTGATAATAATTTGTATGCCTACCGTATACTGCAACATCTTGGCGTATTTAAAATATCATCATCATCATCATTACAGCCCCTCAAGTCCACTGCTAAACATAGGCCTCAATTAATGAACTGCTCCTGAATTGGCAGAGGTGCAGCAATTGTATAAGTGATTAATTCAATTAATAAAAATAAAAAACGAAAAAATTCGTCATCATGATGATTATTACAGCCCTTCACAAGTCCACTGTTGAAATAGGCCTCCCCCAAGGAATGCCACAACGGTCCTAAGCCACCTGCATCCATCGACTTCCTGCATGTCATTCAAGGCTGTCACTCCATCTAGTGGGGGGTCGCCCTACACTACGCCTACCGGTACGAGGCTGCCACTCGAGAACCTTTTATCTCCATCGGTTGTCGGTTCTTTGAGCTATATGGCCGGCCCATTGCCACTTCAGCTTACTAATCCGTTGGGCTACGTCGGTCACACTGGTTCTACTGCGGATGTCCTCATTTCTAAGTTTATCACGCAGAGTAACCCCGAGCATTGCCCTCTCCATAGTTTGCTGAGTGCCTTGAGCGTCCTCATACGGCCAGCAGTGAAGGACCACGTCTCAAAATCATAATTCATTACTGGCAACATGTACTGGTTATACAATCTAGTTTACAGGTTTTGAGGTATACTTGACGAGAAGATATGTCTTAATTTCCCGAACACTGCACAGCCGAGTTGAATACATGTATTGACCTCTAGGTCGAAGTTGGACTTATTTAGTCGGACTATTTCTCCCAGGTAAACGTACTCGTCAACAACTTCGAGCTTAGTGCTCCCAACAACTTCCGGCATAGGTGTGACATGGACATTAAACATGATCTTTGTTTTGTCCATGTTCATAATTCATAAGACCTATCCGTTGGAAGACACAATTGATGTCATTGAGCATAGTGCTTAAGTCCTCCATCGATTCTGCCATACGGACTATATCGTCGGCAAATCGAAGGTGAGTGATGTACTCGCGATTGATATTGATACCGTATCATTTCCAGTTCAATAGATTGAAAACGTCTTTCAATGCAGCGGTGAAGTTTCGGGGATATAACGTCACCCTGTCTTACACCTCTCTGCAGTAGGATAGGTTTCGTACTCTGGTTCTGTACTCGGGTAGCCATCGTAGCCCTACTGTACAATCACTTCAGCACTTCGATATACCGACAGTTAACTTGGCACTGCTGAAGGTACTGTAGCACCGCTCAAATTTCGATGGAATCAAAGGCTTTTTTATAGTCCATATATGCAATCAAAGTAGCAGATTGTACTCTTTGGTCTTCTATACAACCTGCCGTAGGGTATGTATGTGGTCTATGGTACTGTAGCCTTTTCGGGAACCAGCTTGTTCGAGAGGCTGGAAGTCTGGGAGTTTGCGTGCGAGACGATTTGTAATGACTCTCGAAAACAGCACGTAGACACGGCTCAGAAGAGAAATCGGTCTGTAGTTCGTCAAGTGAGCGTTGTCGCCTTCCTTGAAGAACAAGACCACCGCACTTCTGCTCCACGCCTCCGAAGTAGTGCCACCATGGAGGACGGAATTGAAGAGCTTCTGAAGGATTTTGAGTACCGGTTTTCCGCCCGATTTCAGAAGCTCCGCTGTAATTCCATCCTCATCTGGGGCCTTACCGTTTTTAGGTGCTGGAGAGCCATTCTAACCTCGCTCATACTGACTTCCGGGATGTTATCTGAGTGGTGTCGGATAAGGCTTGCTTTTGGATCGTTACTCACACTAGCGTGTGGCGCCATCGATGATGTGTACGGCTGCTCATAGAACCTCTCAATCTCACTCAAAATCTCAGGAAGCCCAGAAACGATGCTGCCACACTCAGTTTTCAGCTTTGATAGTTGGCTGTTTCTGGCAGTTAGATCACTGGCAAAGACTTTGGAGCCCCGGTTCCGCTCAATCGCTTCTGTAATACGAGCTGTATTTAAGTTGCGTAAGTCCCGCCACATGTATACGGAGATCTGTCTGTTTAGTTGCCTGTATGCTCTCAAATCCGTTGAAGACTGCAGCTTCATTTCTAACAGAAATGAGATTAAGAGTGTAATCGAAAAGTTTTTGTGTTCTTCTGCGGTGGGTCTTTCAGAACTTAACTCCGACCGCATGTAGAGTTTCCACGGGCTTGTCATTCATATCGTCCACTACATTGCAGTCTTCTAGGCACCGAGAACGGTTTTGTTACTCGAACTGAAAGGTTTCGGAACTTTGGATTAGAGCACGAGGGGGACGGAGTATTGACTTCATTAGACGAGACCTCTCCAACTTAACGTTTAGGTTTAGTGCGCCCCTAACTATTCGGTGATCGCTACCAGTTTTCACCCTTGCGATCACTGAAACATTATTACTGAACAGTTGCCGTCTAGCCGTCATAGTGAAATCAATCTCATTTTTTGTCGAACCTTCGGGGCTCGACCAGGTTCACTTTCTGTGGAGCCGCTTCTGGAAGAAAGAGTTCATCCATAAAGAGTCCCTATTTCTCCATGAAGTCGACCTGGCTAGCCCCTTGGATTCCGTTGCTCTATCCCAAATTTCCATACCTTAAGCTCACTGTACTAGGTTCACCACACACAAAACTAGGTACAAGAGTGCCTTGTATGAAGTCTCCCTTTAACACCGTATAGTGTCACTCTAGAAATATCCTCATACATCAAGAATCACAGTGTTCGCCCTTCTCTGCGAAATGCGGATAATCCTATAGGATTATATATTCCAACGCACTTGTCTATCTCTTCTTCCAGCTCTAGGATCTTCTCGTCAGTCTTCAGGGTGCGTGCGTTGTATGTTGGCAGGTCGAGTCGTCTTACGTAGCAACCGAACCTCCACCGGAGATTTTTAACACCTCCTGCCCCGCAGTTACCATGATCGCCACCGTAGCCAGGAATAGTGGGGCCTCAGGGGCAAGAGGGCCGCTTATTTGTGTCGTTGCTCATGGGGGTATATTGCCATAGTTGTGTTACGAGCTTGAGGTTCATGACAATAAAAACTGCCGATTGAATTACCAAAATTTACACTTTAATTTTCTTTACACCAATTAAAACTTAAAACACTAATAATTAATCACACTGATTCACTTTATTTCGCTCCGAAGCTTCGCTTGTCTCGCCAAATCAATACTGCCTCGATCGCATCTTGCAGCGCCTTTAAATACACATTATCACCGAAACATCCAGAATATTCAAGTAAATACGCGCGCCAATCGACCAGGCGCCGAAAGTTCGAGTATAAGGCTTCTAGAAAGCTTAGTTCTTCATTTCGATACTAGATAGCGCTGTCGGTTGAAAGATTAGTGATGTCATTTTCTGGAAAGCTTTCCTCGCTCTAAAAAAGCGTTACCCGACACAGATGGCGCTAGTGCCAGACGTCAACTTAGGCGCGCAACACTGCCCCCTACTAAGACATGATCGTCCCGAGCATTATCGGCTCTATAATAACGCTCCAGGCGATCCACATGGACGATCTTAGGAGTCCCTCTTACGCCTTTCTGTAACGGCTCCGCAATGTCAAGGGCTGTCCTATCCCATGGTGCACCAACATTGTACAATTTCGATGCTCCTCTACTACGTGTCCGAGGTCCCCTCACAGCCGCACAACTTGTACATGTGCGACACCAATCCTCGACATCGTCACGATAATGGACGCAGTAAAACTGT